ATCAGCTGAAAGTGTGTGTTCACACACGGCGTTGCAGTTGTTGAGTACCTAGTAGCTTCTCGTTACTAGTAGCAATGCCAGGAGCTACTAGTAGCGTCCTTGTTACTAGTAACGATGCACCTTTCTACTAAGCTTGGGGATGCACCAGCTTGCCCATTGGCGACGTCAAAGAACAAGGCAACACGAAAAAAAACACATTGGCGACGTCACATACCTGAGTCCAGAGTTCTTGCAAATCACAAGGTGTCAGCATGAATGGTCCGATCAACGGACCACCAAAGGCCAGATTAGTTGCATCGACCCAGACAATCAATGGAGTCCTTTCATGGTGTCAGCCACTCCTCCTTCCTGGATGCTTTTGCTGCAAACTTTTGCACATTTCTTGCGGTGGTTTTCCACTTGCCCCTTTTCAACAGAAATTGGTGACTGCCGCATGTTTAGTTGTGCCTCTCGTTGTGAACTCCTTCTGCACAGGCACATATCTCTTGGATGAGCAGCGAACTCGCTGAGGGTCATTTCCTCTGGACAATTTGCCAAGTTAGTTTCATCAGATTCAGTGTCCTGAGTGAGCGTCGCGGTTCCAGCAGCATATGGTGCGCTGTATGTGAGAGCTCGCTTGGATGCACGTAAGCCAAATCGATGGTTGTGCTGAGCAATATGCCCAGGATAGTAGGGATGGTCCAGATGGAATTGACACAGGCTGGTATCCACAAGGCTGACGCTACCCTACAAAAACTACCACATAAGAGATTCAACTTGGTTTCATGAGATATTTTGACTTTATGGCCCCTAAGGGTCGCAGTCCTGGCCAACCCACAGAGTCCGCTGAAGGCACGATGCCCCTCTCAGGCCAGTGACGTTTGCGCAGCCGTTTCAGGAGAAGCGACGCACAAAGGTGTAGGCGAGTTTTGCTTGTGCGTACCAATGTAAAACAACGACAACCATATGAACAACGACCACCGGCGCACCATGGAAGCCCGGCTTTTTTTACACACGCAAACCCGCCCTGCGTCAACCCGTCGTGCAAATCCATGCAAGCCTCCGCAAGCAAACTCGGACTCTATTCCCGTCGCATTGAAATGGTCAACAGTTTGCTGAGCAGTCTGCAGTAAGATGCAACAAGTACTACTGTACCGAGTATGGAAGCGGCTGCAGTTTACCACAAGTGATTCTATTGCTGTGCCTGTCCAAAAGGCTGCGTGCCTGTCCATGCTTCATTTGAGAATCCAACGGGACGTGTATCGCACCTTCGCCGTAATTCGCACGAGGCGCGTCAGCGATCTGCATCCCGACCCGCACATCGACCCTCTGCACTCAACTACATCAAATCCCTGCTTGTTTCAGTTATCCTATATATATATATGTATACAAGTGTCTAAGGTTAACAAAAGTCGGAGCATGATCTCCTCTGGAACTGAGGATGCTCTTTTTGCACTCAACAAGTATTTTGCTTTGGCTAACCCGTTGAAGAGAGATTGAAGAGCTCCAATACCGACCATCTCTGATTCGAAGTGCAGTGACACACCGACCGGGTCAGCGACTGTTCAATCCTCCACTCCTCAAGCTGTCTCTGAGTTTCGCAACGACCTCTATCGCTACAAGCCCTACGAGTTCGAAGACCCGGTGAATGGCTATCCAGAGGCCACTGCAAAGCTGTAGCTGAAAAGGTGCGTACTCTTGCCAACGGAATGACATATCTTTTGGAGCAAACCGACAGAAACACAGGTTTTCACATGTCACCGGTAGCGGCAGTTCCTGCATCGTTTCTTCATGTCATGTTTATTGAAGGTGGCCACAGATCTAAAACATCTATATGTTCGCTTCATTTCCTTGAGCAGGCCATGAGTACAAAGTCCAATCAAGAGCTGAGATACTTCACAAACTTCACATACCTGCTTTCTTGAGAATTTGGATGGGTGGAAAAGTCAAAGGAACTCGAAGAGTATTCTCCAATCCCAAGCCCTACAAGCCCTCTTGTGGTGGCTGCTGCTCTGTATGCAAGTTTTTGGGTCATCGAGCCTTCCCACAGCCACAGGAGGTCCCCTTCTCTCATTTACTTCGTGAAGATGCAGAAAGGCCCTCAGTGACATCTTTAGAAGTAGTATGGCAAACGTTGGTTGTTCAGCTTAGACCCGGTGTGCGGAAGACATGGAGAGTATGGCTAAGAGTCTAAGAGATGACCACGTTGCTTTGCTGTCCTGATGTTGCTTGATCCAAGACTGGTTCTGGACTTCTCGTTGCTTGACCTTTGTTGGAAACAAGCCACTAGGAATTCAGAAAAAAGAACCATCGTAAAGTCTCAGCCACCCAACACAGAGGCGACCTGTCGCGGCCTTGCTGAGCTGTCCTAGGACACACACATCCAAGCCTGTCCAGAAGCTGTTGCCTTGGAGTTCTTTGGCTGCAATAGCAACGTTTCGGCACATAGCACCACTTTGCAAGCTGCTCATTGTCGATGTTTCTCTTGGCACTTGCAATACCCAGAAAGATCCCGAGTGCCACGAGTGCAGGATGCTGCTGAATGCAGAACGACATCTCTCACTTTTGGCCCGTACGACTCGAACATCGGACGTTTATGGAAATGCCACGGAGGCAGCACGCCTAGGAATGGCACACATGGCACACCAGACAAAAGTATGTTGGTTTGGCTAAAGTTGGATAGGCTGTATTTGAAGCCAGCCTTCTTGGGCATGTTTGTCGGAATCCACTTCTTCTCGGCTGAGAATATGTGGAGTCGCCGCGCCCTTCAGGCGTGCAGGAACCATCAATTCTTTCATGAGCTGTACAACACCATTCCGTTCAAGGAGACGTACAAGGACACGGGAGGGCAAATGGCCGGAACAGGCGGGCTGCGGATACTGGATACCCTAACTGCACCTCTAAATTACATCTACTGATGAGGCAAGTGTAAGAGCTCATTTGCCTCCCCGCATTCTCAGTTTAAATGATTGGTCAGATACCTCTCATTGCACTACTTGATGTTCTTCAGGAATTATATAATCGTTGTCGAATGCAGAGTCCGGTGTTCAAGCCAGACATGTTTGTAAGTCTTGTGCAGCAAGGTAGGCGCAGTATATCACATGCGCCAGAGGATTTGGACTGGACAAACAATGCTGAAACAGGACTTGCTACAGGCAGCCTCCGACCACCTGATGACAACCTGGCATCGTCTTGGCTTTCAAGTGGAGAAGTTCTGCACCTTGGGCCATTGAACCTGAGATGGAGAGCACGAGAGATTCGACAAAAAATCGTTGCACGTGGTGTTTCCATAGAGTGGACACTGCACGCTATGATTGCATTCAAAACGGGTTGGAAGGTACTGTTGAAGGTCTTGGATATGTTTCCAAGCTAGACTAGACGTTTTTTTCGGGCCGTTATTTTGGGCTAATCAGTGCCAATCAGGCTGAAGAAATTCCGTTTATATAGTAGGCTTTTCAGTGAACCTGATTTGCGGCACCTAAGGCGGCCGGATCAAGGATTCCAATGTGGTGCGACCGAGAATAGGTGCAACCAGATGTGCTGGGAATAACCAATCTTCTTGGGACCTTTGAGGCATATGACGTCATATGACCTATATACATCTTCTCAGGGTTGGCCAGTTGTTGTCGCCGTCGGCGTCCTTTTCTATTTCACTTGTGTCTGGAGTCTCGCCAGTCACTGATGAACCAGCTGTGGGTATGTCTCGCCAGCCACACTCGAGGCAGCTTATTTCGACTGCACATCTTCGCATCCTCTAGCATCCTCTAGCATCCTCTAGCTTGAAGGCTACCGGTTCGACCGACGGCTGTCAGAAGGTCAAAAAGCCAAGGAATCCTCTTCGCTCTCTCACTGAGCCGGTGTGGAGAGAGGTTCGCCTGGTTCGCCTCTTCGCCTGTTGTGCCAGGTGAAGTGGAGGTGCACCGGAGGTGCACCAGCCGTGGAAAAGAGGCTATCCACGTCTGGGAGTTTGTGACGCTTCAACGCAGACGATGAAGCTCTGACACTATAGGCCCCAAAAAGACGTTGTTTTGGCCTCCAGAAGCACTCTCCCATGCATGTACGCGAGATGCCAACCAGCAACACATTCGCATCAAGGCCAAAAGGCCTTGAACACACGCATTAAAGGCAGCTTCAAGAAGGCAGCTACGTTTTCCAGCATATGAATAGTCTTATGAACATCTGATATGAAAATCCGATCAGACCAGCAATACCGGACACCGGCATTTGTGGGCCCCTGGAGGGTTTCGAGAAGATCCAGGGAGACTCGATGAGCGGTTGCCGAGTTGAAGGCGGGCGCTCTTTGACAAATCGCGTGAAATTTCGCTACGAGTTGTCAAAGGGATCAACGAGTCAAGTCCTGCGAGGCTTGTGGAAGGAACTACCAGAGGCTGGGACTAGGAAGACTGCTCAGTCTAGTATAGGTGTGTTGCCATGCAGCAAGTCCGCAGTGTCCTTGCAGGCAGACTGACAAACCCGGCTCTTATGGTACCCGTGTGAATCATCCTGAGATTTGTGAATCTTCTTAGGTATGCCGATTCATTTTAATATTGTCACTAAAGTCTTCACTTGTCACCAGGAACTATGGCTTCGATGATGTCACAAATCATAAATGCAACCTATATGTTGAACCATATATTGAACCTACATGTCTAAAGCCCCTTGAAGCCTCCGAACCGAAGGAGTTGCATCGGCGGACGACCAGACACTTCGAAGCACCGGAAGTGCGTGCTGCCACACGCTGGGTTCCGCGAGGTGGAGCAAGGGCAGCGAGGGCTCCTAGTGTAACAGAGTCGAGACTCCTAGTGTAACAGAGTTGAGACTCCTGGTGTAACAGAGTGAAACCAATGTTTCAAATCGAGCAATTTTTGATTCTTATGAACAAATATAACAAATGACATCTATATAATCTTTATATATATATATATAGATTTAATGCTTCAATGCCTGAGACACGTATGGAGTGGGAAAGCCTCGGACCTCTATCCTGTGACCTCTATCAGTGTGTGCAAACCGTCCGTGATAGCTCTGGCTCTTGGAGAGCTGTGATGACCTACGCGATGGCGCTGCGGGAGTGGCTGTTGCTGGCCACCTTTGTGCAGGCGCTTGCCCATGAATGCCTTATGATTGGCAAGGTGTACGAGGAGACGTACGCAAGACACAGAAAAAACATTTTTGGCATTCTCAGAGTTCCTCTGCTACTGTTGTTGGCAAACACCAAGAGTCCAAACATATCACACTATCACATGTACAACTTTACGAACGTAGCAGGAAAAAGCTACGAACGTAGCTTCTGTGCAGTCCAGACGGTGTCCACGTGTCGCTCCAGGATCCGTCAAAGCGATTGTATGACGGCCGGGACATCAAAGCATGGTCAGATTGCGCTGGGCTCTGCGAGAAGACGGACAATTGCAACTTCTTTACTTTCAAGGTCAACACCTTCCCATTTGCTCAGTGTTGGCTCCTAACAGAGTCTTTCCTTGCAATTCTTTCATTTTGGTCTTTTAATGGTCTTTAATGTATTGCTCACAACTTTCTACAATCCTTGAAGTAAGTCTCCGGTCATTGAACCATGACTCGCAGATCTCAACTGCCCTTCTCCGTTGTTTCAATGATCCGGTAAGGAACAGAAGATCATGGTGGATGATGCTTTTGCGGTGAGTGGCTCGCAAGAGTGTTTGTCTGCAAGATCACATTCGGAAGAGATTTGCCCTAACCCGGGTGTAATTTATGATGACAAGATTCTACCAGATCCTCATTTGTGGACGGCCACATGGCTGGAATGCCAGCAGAAGTGCAACACACATGCGAATTGCAAGCATTTCACTTGGAAGCAGGACTTGGGAGGGAGCTGGGGAGGGCATGTTACAGCACGACATTTCAAGCCACCATGGAATCATGACAGTGGAAACAATGTAGGACACAGCTCCAAATGGTGGCTGCTGGCTACTACCCAGCCACAACTTTACGAAGAAGCACCGAGACCCTCAGGCCATCAGTGGTCAGGATGAGTGCCCTTGGACGAAGGAATCCGATTTGCTCGCTGCCCCCGCACCAATTGGAGAGATGGGTCAGGTGGCTTTGGACTGCAGAGCACCAGATGTTCTATACACGGATCCAATGCTTCCTGCACCAAAGATGTACCTCGCAAAATGGCAGGATTGCCAAGTTGCTTGTGACGACAGTGAAAGCTGCGAGGCCTACAGCTACAAGAACAACACCGACCCACCTGGGGGATGTTGGCTTTTCAGAAATATGAAGTATGGCACCAATCACTCAGACGTGGAAGCGCTCACGGGCAGAAAGTACTGCAAGATTCCCGAGACCCCCATTGTGGTTGTGCAACTTATCATGCAGCTTTAGATGTTGAACGGATTGTTTGCGAATATAGGTATTAAGGTGTCTTTTTGCAGGGAGTTTGCACTGCTGAGTCTATTTTTTGTGCACTCCTTATTCCTCATTTGGATGTCTTGGTCAGTTCGCTTGTGCTCGAATTCCTTTTGAACATCTCACAGTGTTGCCTCCCTTTCGACGGCAGTTCAAAGGGCCCATTCCAAGAGCTTCTTGTATGGCTTTTTGCCTTCAAATTCACAAAGAAGAGTCTACTGTATATGGGTGGTTGCGCTGCCACTTGGCAGTCAAAACCTTTGGGAGGTTGGTGGCAAGTCTGGACAGCCAGGGCAAACACAACACTCCACTGTGACACAGCAGTTAAGCCTGCACGAGGCAGGTGACAGCAGGCGTCGTTTTGCAACCAAACTACAAAGTTCGGTCAATCCGCCATGGCAGCATAGCAAGCATAAAACTAGGCCTTGTGAGTGCATTAGCATTGAAGTGCGGAGATCCACAACGACGAACAAAAGACCTTAAGGGCTTGAGCAGTCAGCACCTGCCGTGTTTCATAACTAGGCTACCGCAATTCATCATGGCAAAGAGGCAAGCTCGTACAAGAAAGAAGGTCAAGTGCCGTTGGGTTCTAGTTGCTGCCGAGTCCTTGAGCTTTGTAGTAGAGCCCCGCTTGCGAGTACGGCCTGACCAAACTACAACCCTGTTGCGGAACGACCCTTTGCCCATAGGCCTCGCTGCAATTTAGGTTCCTGCCTGACCAGACTCTGCCCAGAGAGAAGTAGAGTGTAGTATGCAGAGGAAGCTGCAAGCAATCAAAAACGACTAGGGCGACTCGGGGTGAACATTCTTTTTCGACTTATAATACTTTAGTTGGCACACTGCTTTGACGCATCAGTTTTTTCTCATCAATTGGCTGACGCCATTGGTTGCGATTTAGCTGGTCCAGTGGTCCAGTCGTTGTTGCGGCTGATCTTGAGGAATCAAGAAAGAAAGTGCAAGACACATGATTGACAGAGCAATCTTCTGAGCATTTGGCAGCGCACCGGATGCGTGCCTCAAACACAGCCAAACAGGACTCCCTCCTTGCACATGCCCGAAACAAAGAGACATAACCCAAATGAGGACCCACCTGGCCCTGGTCTTCTCGAAACCAAACACCAACCTGCTGCGTAGCGTAGCACCGTCTCCGGGCTACATGTCTTGGCAGCGATAGACTGACAGGCTGTTCCTTCGCACGTCTCACCATTCCCGCACCCAATCTTGAACACGTTCTCATCGGAACCCCTCCTCAGGCCCTGTAAGGGTTTTGAGCAACACATGTTCCACTTTTTTGCAAAAATGCGTAGCCTTTGTACGACCGAAACCAAGTGTGAAAGGCGGAAGATCCCAAGCCATCACTGACCAAGGCCGAAGCCCGAGACTGAGGTTCACAGGCCCAGGCCGGGGACGAATTTGTGCGGATTCGATTGTCCAGCAATACACAGATTTCAGCATTTCCTTGTTTTCCAAATCGGGGACTGAAATGGTGCACTACATGCCTTGCAGGCCAAGTGGGCCTAATTACATGTGGCTTCTGCTATTGGCTGCGCTGTTGGCTTTATGCCTTTGCTTCGGCCTCTTTTTGTTCCTATGCCGCAAACAGAAGCAATCAAAACCACGTGCTGTGGAGCTCGAGTCCTCAGATGAAGAGTCGGCTTTGGCAGCCGCCCCACGAGCTCAGAGTCCGGCACCAGCCGCACCCTTGCTGCGAGCACAGAGCCCACCACCAGTGACGCAGGTGGTGACGCCTCCACGTCCCGCTGCCGTGACCTACTATCGTGTGAAAGGACCGGCAACCCTGCCTGCAGTGGAACCCAGCGAACCCGTAGCATCTGATTTGATGTGAGATGTATACAGTTGGTGCTGAAAGCAGATGATACAACCAGCTCCATGACATTCCACAAGGAAAACCGTTGGCCTTGCCAAAAACCGTTGTTTTCAGATCGAAGCAGCACCTGAAAAGAAAGCTCTGGGCGCCCAATGAGGCGGCTGTGGGTTGGGTACAAAGGAGGTTGGATGTACTGAATCATAAGGAGACTTGTTTTTATGTCGTTCTGCATCGTTTTTATGTCGTTCAATTAAAACTCTCCAAGTTCTCCCAACCCAGCGGCACTCAGCCCAGAAGCCAATGCCAAGGCCACGAGGCCGCCACGAAGCATTGAAGAAGCATAGTATGACACATGTCGCAGGTGGTCACACATGCCACACACCACGTTGAGGCGAGGCAACCTTAGATGTGGCGGATAGGCCTGTTGTTTCTCCCGGGACTGAAGTCATGAAACTGACCCCCTTTCGGCAAAGCAGCCATAATGTGGTCTGCTCGATGAACTGAAGAGCAAGTACCATGTGTGCACGCGATTGAAAAAGATAGCGACTGTCAGACTCTGTGACTTTTTCTCCGAAGTATCTTGGACTATTCAAGGAAGCGCTGAGCCGCTGAGCATATGATGCGGGTAGCCTTCAAGAAAGTACACAGCGTGGGCCTGCTTGGGTCACTCAGCCTCCTGAAATTTCGGTTTGTCTCAGACTCCAGGCTACCTCGCCAAACTCTACAGCAGCTCGGATGTGACTGCATATATTTTTTACTGGCCTAGATGCATACTGATGGCACGGCTTGGCTGAACAATTTGTTCAGACGTTGGAAGATGGTGGCAGTAGATTTGTGGAAGATGTTTCAACGTGCTGGCAGGAGCTGGTGTTTGTTCTCCGTCCAAATTTCCGTCCAAATTTTTGATAAGCCAAGACTCCAGCGTCAAATTCTACTCGGAGACGTGCGATGTGCCTTTCTTGGACTACCATCCGCTACTTGGTTCAACCTCGCTGGGCTTTTCTTGAAGTTCCAACAGTCAAACTGCCTTTGGTTCACACACATTGGCTGCTCTTCAGTTCCATTTCCAAGGTTCCCAATGGCAACTCTCACAGCTTGCACCTTGGTTTCGCTTGTGGGACGAATGCTTTTTCTTCATGGAATCAAGACTTGTCATAGTGCAATTCCGTTTCAGAGAGTGGGGCCAAACGTTAACACCTGCAAGGTGCATTTTTCCAAGGCAAATACTGCATGATGGGCTCCATGTTGAATTTGCAGCCGACGGACAAGCTCTTTGAGCTGGGCGGAGGTGGGAGGACCTGTGCCATTGTTCCGGAGCTTTCCGTGTTCGCCCTCCCTTTTCTTCTCAGGTTGTGGCTTAGGGTCCGCTTGGTTGGCCTCATTCGGTGCCCAGGTGGAGTTTCCGATGTTTGCCCCGACAATCTTTGGCGACATGTTGTCCTTCTTTGTCAGCATTTTGTTTGATTATATAGAAGCACTCTTCACTCTGTGCTTCATTAGAAACTACAGGTTTGTCTTCGGGCAGGTGACCATGATGGATCTTTTTGACCACCACTTGGAGGCCGCAGAGAAGCTGGCAAACGAGGCAAGCTGGAGCATCTTTGCTGTCGGCCTAGTGTGATGGTGGTTCTGAAAAAACCATACTTACTTGGAGAAGAAGTATGAACCGACCTAGATCAGGAACACTAAAAAGAGACCCTTGTTACTAGTAGCGATGCCCTTGTTACTAATAGCGATGCCCTTGTTACTTGCTATTGTTTCGGAAATCCTCGTTTGGAACAGCCACTTCCTTGCCTGAATGAACTTGCCTGATGGACCAGGGCCGCGTTGCCTTTTCCATTGTTTATGGTGTCAATTTGGAAGGCTGTAACAGTGTGTCACAGTATGAAACTACCGTATTCTTTTGAGAGCGGCACGCCATGGGGCCTGTGTTTTGGTTTTCCATAAGTTTCTGATACTGCAAACATGTTTTAGACAGAGAAAGAAAAAACACATATCAGTAAATCTACTTTCTCAGAGATCCAGAGGAAAGCCTGGAAAGCTTTATAGAAAGCTTTTCAAATATAGAAGTCATCATTCCCAGATAGCTAGAGGAAAGCTTCTGAAATAAAAGCTCTTTCAATATAGAAATATTTTTCCCACGAATCTAGAGGAAGCCCTTTGAAGTAAAAAACATGTATATACATAGCTTCTATTATAAAGATCTAGGGGACAACTATTGCAATGACAGCTTTTAGATAAGGCTTTTTAACTATAGAAATGGTTGTCACCCTAATTTTAGAGGAACGCTTTTGCAAGAAAAGCTCTTACAAAAGCTTTTACATCTAGAAATGCTTATTCCTAGATATTACTTTTAGAAAGATCTAGCTATCTACTCAGCAACAGTGTTTTGACCCAGTTCCCAGCACTCCCAGGGCAAGAAAACACTGTAAAACACAGGGTTTTGTAGCATTTGTTTTCTTAAGATCTTTTAAGTGATAGCCTGCCCCTGCGCTCCATATCTGAGTCCTGCCAAAGAGTCTCTGAGAATTTGTTTTATTGGTTTTATTGTATATTTTGTTGTCCCAAGTTTTTTTTTAGAGTTTTCTATTTTTCGTGTGATTTCGGTTGTATTTTTGAGTAATTATCTAAAACGTATCAGTGCAATTCCAGACAACCTAAACCTAGATATAGGTTTCCAAAACGCAGGCCCCATAGCGTGCCCTTCTGATTCTTTTCGTGCCAGGTTGGACTTAAGATTTCCTTGCGGCAAGGTGCTCAGGGTGTCTGGATTTGAGTACACCATGACGATGCAACAGCTATATCTTTGTACACAGACGGCAAGTGTGCTATCACTTGGCAAGCATGCAAGTAAAACAGAAGGCTGCCATGTAATTAGTGTGTTTGGTTTTGCAGAGTGAGACCTTCCGCTACGCCAATCGTTTCGAGTGTTCACATCATTATCACCCAACTGTATGCTTTGCCTTGAGTGTTGCTCTCTTTTCAGCATAAGGATCGTTTTAAAGATTCTGTGACACAATTTGAAGTTCTGCGCATTTCATCCAAATGGTGAACCGCCACCGGTCGAAGAAAGATTCCTGCCGCATCAAACGCCCAAAAGGCAATGTGGCGGAGCTGGATGCGTATCCAGACGAGTCTTTTGCTGCTTTGCATAAAAAGATACATGTTCACTCTACAACCAGGTGGGCCAGACATTTTCTATGTGAAATCCCTTTCAATTGGACAAAGATCCCATGCGAGGGTCATCGATAATTCTCTTCTTTGTCGTCTCCTCGCTGTAAAGAAGAGAACTGGTTGGACGGAGATCAGAGGATGTGGTGGTGGTGAATGGCGCCATGAACTATCTGGGGTCTGCAGCCGCTCCTTGTGCCATCTTCCGGCGGCACTATCTCCGAATGCTTCGACCTGGAGGCCGCATGGAGCACAGCGATTTCAGGGTTTGGAAGCAGTTCTTCTGATTCAGTATAGACAGAAGAGACATTTTGTGGGTGAGGAGTGATGGGGAGATCAACTTGGTGTCCTCTTCATTTGGCTGCAAAGCATTGCAATCAGATCTGCTAGATGTTCTTTTTGAATCTAAGAGCTGCAATGTTCTTGTCTTGTTGTTGAACTCTGGCCACATTCAATGCCAATCCCAAGCTCTGAAGTTTGAAGATAGCCAGGAGTGATGTGGTGGGGTGGCCTCAACAATCCGTACCCTGTCTCGCAACTAGACGTGTCCAAACTCTGGTGGTTCGACTGGCTCCAAGGCTTTCTTTTGGGGTCCTTGTCCTTTTTTCATCATTTCTTTTTCTCAAGGCGGTAAGCTGTATCCTTCCGAGACCATAGATTTTGTTGACAAGGTAAAATTGCAGCTGGAGTGAGCAACGTATTGTTGAGAGATCACGGTGCATGTGTTAGTGAATCATGGCACTACATCTTTGTATACTTGTCGTCAGGTTCCTTGATGACCTTTATGTAATCGGCGTTGAAGGATGGAGCAAATGTGCCTGCGACAGAACAGATGCGACTTTGTCTTGTTTCGAGGAAACTATAGAGGACAATTAGGATGAAGGATCATCTCGAACATGCAATATGTCAAGCGAAGCAAGGGTCGCACATATTCCGACCACTCTTTGAGTTCTGCTTACAACCAGTAGAGGACTGATGACATGACCCTCCGTTTGCAAGAATGCCACGAGGCTTTCAAAGCTTGGCGGATGCTGGCATGGTGACTTATGCTTCTTAAGCTTGAATAGATATGGCACACAGCCTTTTGATCTAGTCCAGGTGGAAGGCTACTGTATCACCTGGAAGGCGAACGTTTAACGATCGATCGTTTGTCTCAATCTGTTTGGAGAACGCACCAACAAGACAAGTCGAAGACGTCAGGGTGTGGCTTTGTAGTCTTGAAGAAGACACATGTGGATGCACACACATGAAAAACTAAAGCCAACGTCGCTTTGTGCTAGATCCAATCAGACATTAGAGCAAGCAGCAGGAATCTGCTGGTGGACTTTTGCCGAACTGAACCGAGACCATTGGACTGCATTGGAAATCCCTTCCTCTGTTCCTAGTAGCTTCTTGTTCCTAGTAGTAATGCGAGGAGCTACTAGTAGCTTCTTGCTCCTAGTAGCGATGCACTTTGCTCCTAGTAGCTTGTGGACTTTTGCCGAACTGAACTGAGACCTTGTTCTCTGAACTGGAAGTTCTTGGCGTTGCCGAATCCTTTGACCAGCGCGAGTTGAGCTTGACTCTTAGCGACGAAAGATTTCACAGGAGGAGGTTTCAAGCTTTGCAAACGAGCAAAGTTGCAAGGTTGCCAGATTTAGCATCTAAATTAAATGGCTAAGGGGTCACACGCTGGGAGGTTATCGAGGTTTTCCTGCCAGCAGAAGATAACTTCGGATAGCTGATGCACAGGAAGCTTATTTTTGCCAGCATGGCCCCGGGCGACAAATATGTGTTTTTTGTTTTTTTTCCCCTTTCCTGGACATCTCCAAGTTGAAAGGCTGCCAAAGCCAGTCGGGGATTGAACCGTAGCATGGGAAACTGGATGGCCTTTAGATTGTCGGCTCTAAATTTCTCCCTTCTCTCAAGTGTTTTGAGGTTTGCGGGAGAGCAACATCAAGGCATGTTACCCCTGTGGGGCGTGTTACCCCTGTCCTATCGCCGGAGGATGCTGACCAAGCAAAAGCCAACAAAATCTGTGGGCAGCTCCGTGGCTGAGGAGGTGGACACCTGGCAGCACTTGAGTGGGGCAACAGAGCCAGATATCGCTCTCCTATTTTGCAGATACAGAGCTTCAAGCCAGTTGTGCAGACAGAAGACTTGCCTTTGGTTTCCACAGCTTGATACAGCTGGCAGAAAGATCACAGGAGAGCTGGCACATTCCATTTGTGACACCAATTGATCCATATTGCAGGTACTAGCTGCTTCTTCCACTAGCTACCACTAGCTACTACTTCCACTGACATGCCGAGCATCACCTTGGCCTAGGATCGTGTGACCGCTGAAGTTATTGAGATCTATGCTTGTGGTGCCGAGAAGGGGGGAGCCTTCGAACACGGAGGTACGTTCTTGGACGTGCAGCGACAGGTTTTCTGTCGTTCTTTTTTTTAGTAGTTGGTTGAAGGGCATGAAACAACTTTGATTTGTAGATTCAGTACTTTGCTGTTGGGCGATCTTCTGGGTTGCACTTCTTTTGGATTGTAGAATAGCCTTGTGGACATGGCTTCGTCGGTTCTATCTTGCTCGAATGGCTGCGGGCAAAGCGACGCTCGAAGCTTTGAGCTCTGCTTTGGACGGCGGCAGCGATTGAAATACTTCGTCCTTCTGTCACAAGTATCGATTGATCGAGAGGAAGGGCTTTCCAATGCAGTCCAATGGTGTCGATTGATTCCCAAAGGTACTTGAGGCCGAGCTTCCCGATGTACCATGGAGAAGCTTCTTGCGGCGTAGCTATGTCGCAGGACGGCAGGAGTCATTATTGCTTCTGTTGATGCCCAGAGCTCCCTTTGTTGAGCTTTTGGTCGGCACGAAACGCAGGAGCTTCCTATTGGCCTTGTGTGGAGGAACGCCTCAAACAAAAGCCTGAAGCAACTCCAATGGGATTTCCAATGTGGCATGGCACAAAAATGGCCTTCCCGGGCGGGCTAAGCCTGTTCCTTGGTTGGGAGTCACAGTTGTCAGTTGTCAGTTGTTCTCGGTTGGTGCAGGGATCCTGCACCTTCATTGGTTCAGCATCGTAACTAACAAGTCACTAACAAGTTACTAACAAGTCACTGGAAAAATTGCACGAAGCCTCCTGTATTTTTGAGCAGACATCCTGTATGCAAGAAGCGGGCAGGTGGACCATTCAAGGCTTTGCCTCTGTCCTGGAGACACAGCACGTGATGAACTTCCTCAACTCCAGGGCTTTGCCTCCTCAGCCCAACCAGGAGCACCTGGAGCACGGTGTGTCGTGTCTTCTTCTCCATCTGGCATGGAGCTGGGAGCCCGAAGTGACGACAAGTTCCGCGCCACAAGCTGAAGGTTGTGTGGCTGCCTTTGAGTTTGAAGGACTTGACTCCAAATGATCCAAAGCATTGAACACACCAGAAATCTGTAGGATCCAATGACCACGATCACGATCAGAGTTGGATTCAACATCTACTAGGGGCTCCTGGCCTTACTACCAGGAGCAAGAAGCTGACTTTTGAGTTCGGCTCCAGAACAGCCACGATTGAACTTTCGCCAGTGACGGCGATCCAAACGGCTGTGCCCACAGCGATGAAGCCGATCAGGAGCTTTGGGTGAATGACATGATTGTGCCCACAGGAACAGACGCAGCAACTCGTAGCAAGCTTCCTGTTCCGTGCAACGTCTACAATGATAGGAACATAATGGAACATATGCAACGGGTCTGTCCCATGGCCTGAAACAGTCGGTAAACAGTTACCAAAAGAAAGGCTTTTACCAACCATCATCATCCACTGTTGCTGGTAATTAGATGTATAATAGGATTTGCCCAAAACATATAGGAACCTCATTGAGTGAATGATCGTTGTAGAGACTTAGGTTGACTTAGGTCTTGGATGACTTGGAGATGCGCCTGGAGGAGTTGGGCCTTCCGGCCAGCCACTCTGATCCCTGGCACATTTTGAGGCAAGACAGCTGCACTCTGCTTGAAGAGCGTAGACATGATGATTCAATTGACACGTGTGCCATAGGTACGAGCCTGGCTATCGTGCGCATTTCAAGCACACAGACTGCAATGTGGAGCATGGAGACCCTGAGAACGATCGATATGTCACAGCACCTTGGATGACTATGCTGCTGCTGGATCGATCAACATAGCCAGATGCACCGGGATGAGACAATGCTGGATCGACCGTAGTTGGTGGGGGGAAAGGAGGAGGGGCGAAGAGGGCTGTCTTGAGTCAAGGCCCGATGGGGCTGGGTCTGTGAAAAATCACCCCGTCGGCAGCGTCACACGCATTGCCATTCTTCACGCATTCCCCACAGCCGTGACCCGCAGCACTGCGATGTTGCATGTGCTCTTCATGGGGTGCATCGGATGCAACAACGTGGAAGTGTAATTGTCCGGGAAGCAGGGTTTTACAGGGATCTAAGAAGGAGAAGGGAAGAAAGAAGGATCTAAAGGTCTAAGGAATGGTCTACTAGGGGCTCCTGGCCTGACCTTAGACTCTTAGACCTCTAGACCCTAGTAGCGTCCTTGCTCCTAGTAGCGATGCCCTTTGTTCCTAGTAGCTTCTTGTTCCTAGTAGCGATGCCAGGAGCCTCTAAGAGTCTTAAGGTAGAGAAAAGAAGAAAGGACTTACAGCCCACAAGACATGTTGCCGGATTTTTTCCATGCGGCCTTCCTGAGCGACACAAATGGGCAAGCTCTGTCAGTGCATGCAAAACTTGTGTACATTGGTGTGTGTGTGTGAGTGTGAAGCCAAAGTACTAGTTGGAGCAGTTTTGTCTCTTTTGTTCCACCCTTAAATGTTTCAATCCTTGAATTCAGTCATATGCTATTAATTCGTCTTGCAATGTTGCCAGACATTGAATTGCGAACGAGGTATTGATTTGGCTTTCAGATTGTTGGAACTCCACTTCTCTTTGCAGCGCTGTCAGAACATCTGGCGCCACGGAGAGAAAGCAATTCAGTTGTGGCAAGCACTGCAGATCTAACATAGGGCTTTCCTGTGTGACCGGCTCCAAGAAACTGGTGTGGACGATTTGGCGGATGGCGCAACTGTCTTCCCCCACTACGGGCTACGCATGCGCATGCCGCGAGGTCAGTTCCGTTTGTTTGCACGTGATGCCTTGACGTGGCAGTAAGTAAAATATCTTAATCTTGAACAAACGCACAAGTAGCTTCCTGTTCCTATTTTCACGATTGGTTTGGACCGACTTCTTCAGAATTCGAAGATTCACCCAGCAATCAGATGCATGCGGAGAAGCTACCTTCAAATGCGATCATCATGGATTACAATACAAAGTCAATATAACGACCGGGACGGTAATAGCTTCAAGGGTGATCAGCACACAATAGCTTGCCTGGAGATTGTAGCATGCTTAAAGCCTTGTTTACTTTGCCATCATTGGAGAGCAGCCTGAATACAGCAGGTGGCTTGGTGCTGTACAGCAATCTGATGGAAGGCGCAGAAGTATGCACGATGAAACACAACCTGAGAAGAGATGTCTTGATTTCTGAATAATTTCATTTTCCTCTCTGTTTGCTCTGTGCTGCCTCACTTCTCCAAGATCCACGGGCAAATTTCCGTCAACGCTGCGAGGTCGTTGCTCTCTTTCCTCTGAGCATTTTGCTGCTGCGCTGGATTCAATGGCACCAGTGAAGGTGGTGCTGCAAAAGTCCCTTGCTTTTGGATAGGTGTCGACCAAAGGCCCTGGAGGCCCTGGAGGCCCTGGAGGCCCTAGGTGTAAGCCTCGTTTTCTCGAGCTGAAGGCTGCCACCATTGATACTTACTGAGCAACAGACTGCAAGGATTGCACCGGCTCCAGTAGTACTACCGACAGGTTGCTTTTTCTTTCACTGGAGGTTGTTCTGCCAAAAGCGTGAGTATGGTTCAACTATGCCATTCATGTTTGTGGCTCGGATCAGAGCCGACGATTTATCAAAATCACTCCGGCATCGCCCGTTTATGACTGTCGGTGCTGTTATTGTTGAGGTGGTTTTACGCTGCTCCAGTGGAACCTAGCACACCAAAAGTCCCACTGGCGGTGTGCGACAGAGGACCACGTGCGCAGTGCAAGCTGCTTGGACAATTCAGCTTCGCCTGTTTTGAGCACATCAGAATGTATTTTGCCGTACATAACACAGGTGCGTTTCCTGGACCTATGGGGCTAGCAATCATTGTGTGCTATACTTTCAAGTAGCTAAACATCCAGGTTTGTTGGGATTGAGGGAGAACTGCGAACCAGTGCTGATTGCTGCCTGAATTTTCAATGCTTTTCAAGATGATTTTGCATTGATTCTGACCCTTTTCCAAAACACCGTCAAGCGAAGGCCTAGATAGAACTGGTGATTTCACCGAGGCATTTCTTTATGCCCCCTGAGGGAATGGGAGCACAGAGAGTACAGCCGCTTCTCGAAAACAGACGTTTTTCGTGGTTTTGAGCCGGGCGAAGCCAGACTGATGGTTCACCCGGGTCTTCCATTTTCTTGCCGAAAGTGTCGTTTTTTTGCTTGCTACACTGTGGTGAAGTCAGAGCGGGTACGAAGTCATAAGCAGCTAAGCAGTATGTATGGAGTTTGTGGCTCCCAGTCGTGGAAATTGATATGTTTTTGACCAATTGATAAATGGTGTATGTTCTTGCTGATGTTGCGTCCAGCTGGTGTTTAGCTTCTTGATGTTTGGACGTTTGCAACTTTGCCAGCAAAAGAACAGACCATATAAACAACGATGTTTGACGTTTTCTTAGACGGTGTGGAGAGCAGGTCTTTTTTTTGAGGCGGATGAACATTGCTGGTTTGGACTGGTGGAGCTTTGGATTTGATTTTGGGGTATCTGAATTGTTTTTGCCAAGATTGAATGCTGGCCTGCAATCTCCCTAATTACCAATTACCTTAGTGTTTGCTGGTGTTTTTTTCAGTGTGCTTGTTCTATTTTGGTGATGTGCTTTGATTTTTGGTTGCCTGACCGTTTTGCGGGCCTCGATTCTTGCTCTGGCATGAGACTTATTTTTGCACTAAGGAGTTGAGGAAATCCCAATACCTCCACAGAGGAATCTCTTTTGCTAGAGTAAGAGTCGAAAGCCTTAAGTCTCATGTAGTCTTTGAGCGCAGGTTGCTTGCGGATGAAGGGTGCTGCTGCTTTCTTTCCCGCGCCCCCCTCTCTCTCTCTCTCTCTTTCTCGCTGCTTTTTCAATGCTTTTGTCAATGACTATGTCCCAACATGATGTTGATACAACCTTTCCCATGCCCATATGTAGGAAAATGTATTCAATGCATGTTTGGGCACAATGCTCATACTGTTCACTATTCGTACCTCATCCGACACCCTGTCCGAAAACAAGCATGACAAACATACTATAACAAATCCTGTTTGTAACACTTGCAAACTCCTAACACAGTTCTGTACATTCATTTATATACGTGCAATGTGGCAAACCTATGTCTGTAGGTCTGTATATTTTGCGGGAATGGGGTTTTGCAAGTCTTTTCCCCAAGACACAGCGCTAATTCATGTGAAGATCATTGCGATAATACACAAGGAGACATTATTTTTTGGAAGTCACTGCGCTGACTATTAAAGCCTCCCGAATCTACATCTACATCTACCCACAAAGTGTGACAGTGGGGTTATTGAAGAATGATCTGACGTTTACGTTCGAGTCAAATCGTTATGCTTGCATTCTGATTTACCTTTGCCATTGCTCCTACAATTCATGTGAGATTTGAGCGCCCAGGGATGCTCTCGCAAGTCTGCAGTGGCTTATGGGCAAGTCCGATGAGGGCAGTGCCGATCAGCAGGCCGCCTGCCGGGTGTCCATGTCGTCCTGGTCACGCCGTGCCGAACATCGGAACGTGCAGCTCGCGCCGGCCTTCAGGTGCAGCTCATCATATCTTCACGTGAGCTACAAGAGCTGAGGGATGCATTGGAGCATCAGGTGGGAATCTTGAGGTTACAATCAAGCCTTGAGGGAAACTCGAGTCCTTCTTGAAAACTGAAAGGAAGAAAACAAGAACAACGAAATAAAGGTCTCAAGTCTCGAGGTTTATATATTTGTATATATATATATATAAATATACAACAAAGAGACAAAAAAGTGCAAAGAAAGAAGAGACACTGAAAGAAACTGATTTGATGCGCTCGAGGTTGTTGGGAGTTCCTTGGGGCAGTCGCCTCATTGGTATGCCATGTTGGCAACTTGGCAGCAAAGGGGGTTCTGAGCAGTCACAAAGAGTTGCTTGAGTGGGCTGCTGTTGTCTGGGTTGCTGTAAGGATTCTGTATCGAATCCTCTACTCACTACTCACTGCTCCTTTTTGTCGTAGTGGTCGGGTTTGTTTGGGAATTTTGGCCAAAGGTAAACTGTTGCAGAGTGCTGACATCGAAGCTATCATATCCTATATGTGTTCCCGACCACGTGAGGTACTAAGCAACATGGAGATGCTGGCTATGCAGGTGTGGACGAGCAAACATGCGCACTTTGCAGAATTGTGTATGATTGTAATGCAAAGATAAACTTTGGTCAGAACTCCCCTTGGGCAGATTAGCTGAACGGTGTGACATTTGTAAGATTGCCACTTTGTAGGCATATAGTTTCAGATCATACATTGTAGCATTGATTGAATACAAATACTAGCTACAATGGACTTGGCACTGGTGATGGAACTCACATCGCGCTTTCGATTCTTTCAGTTTTGAAGCATTCTGAAGAAGCTGCAATGACTCTCCTACTGCACTGCAACTCGCTGCGCTGCTTCGCAGTTCGGCGCCACGGAGAAAGCTCCGTTGCCACGGCTGCGCGCTGCGCTGAAGCGATGCCCCAGCTGTATTGAGGTCATCAAGAGTAACCTGAGGCTGCATTGAAGATAGGACCTTTGTTGAATGTTAAGCCAATCGCCACTGAGTTGGCTCAGATCAAGGAGGCTCTTGTTTTTGGATGCGTCTATGAGAACGAAGAGTCGTGAAAGTCAGGCAACATCACTTCCTACAATTGACATCGAAGGAAATGCCATCTTGGCATCACAGAAACAAACGTTTGACTCGTTAAGCCATATTTTTTTTTCACCCAGTGATTGCATTGGCAGAGGACAACTCTAAATTTAAGGCTCCGAAAAGCCATTGCACGGAGCACCATTTGAACACACCGAACCGTGTTTCGTTTGTTTTCCTTTTTTCAGCATGGTTTCAGCTCCTCTGGGCACGTCACGAAGCGAACCACTTCGGAAGCTTTTGGGTTGAAAGGTACACTTGCGGCGCTGCTGTTGTCCGCACAGGCACGACACCGGAATGCCGAAGAGAAGCCGGTTGAAACCGGTTGTCACGTGTTTGGCCTGAAGCTTCAGGATTGTTTTGGCCTTCTTTGATGTGGATACAGGAATGGATTGCCACATATGCATGCACATGCAGTCTTTTGGTGATGCAGCTGTGTTCGTGCGCATTCCTTGCACAATTTGCATACTTAGCTTTTGCATGCTTTTGCATACTTTCGCATTGCTGTAGTTGCATTGATGCCGTTTTTCAGCATTAGCCTCAAGCAAATTTCCGACTCCCCAGATGAGTCAGCTAATCCTTGCAAGTCGGCTGAGAACTTGGAAACTTGATGGTGCTGTGGCACCTTCAGACCAGGGTGGCAGTGAACCGAACAACAGATTTATGTTTTCTGAAGGCTACATGAGATTATTGCAAGAAAACAGGTAGCAAGGTTCCTGTGCTTAAAGTTGGTGTGTGTGTGTGTGTCAACCCCTGTCCCTAAGGGTTCTGATGTTTCCAAGCAGGGGGGCAGCAGGGAATCCACAGTTCTGCTGCCAACGAAGACAGCTGTGGACATTCCGTGAAGCAGATTGGGACGCCAATCTGTGTACCTGCTGAAGAAACTTTTGCACAAGCTGTGACTCCACTGTTCTCGGTTTGATTCATGGTTTTTCCTCACGATACCTCCCCCCAAAACCCTTTTCTCTGCGCTGAGTTCACCGCGGCCGAGTTCTGCAGTCATGCATCAAACTTTGTTCAGCAATACAATTGCGCCGACTTTTTCACCCTGCGTTTCCCTCATTCCTTTTCTCCTGGGAATTGAGTTAACTGAAAACCAATGTCAGAGTGTGAACCGCTCAGCCGTCCCACTTGGGTGCTGGGTGTGATCCCCGTGACAGGGGCGCCGAAGCCATACAGGAAATTGTGTAACCGACTTATTCTGTCCACCACTCCTTGGATTTTCATAACAGCCTTCGTCTCACCACTGGATTAACTGCTTTAAGAGCCGTCGGGCTTTCACGATTCACGACATACTACCACAGCCGCCGGGCTAAAAAACGGAATTCACTTCCACTCGAGGCCAGGCATGTTTTCCCAACCCCCCCCCCGCCGAGTTCTACTCCCTACCTAATTAGGGCAGCGCAGGGAAATGGTACTCGACACACTTGTGTGTCGGTGCCTTTCCCTTTCTTGTTCCTGTTCTTGTCTTCTCTACCCGGGCGGTCTAAGACTAAAGTCCCGCTCCCTAACTATTGCACTTAATTCGCTTCTGCTAAGTAGTCAGTAACTCTAGAGTGCTAAGTAGTCATACACACACATGGACACACACATGCTACATACACCCCCTCCCTGCCCCCCCCCCTTTCTTTCTTACGCTTTCGGTCGTTTCTTGGGCTTTCTCTCAGGCTTTTTAGGTTGTTCTTGAGGCTCGTTTCCCTGCCCCAGTCAAGGGCTAAGTATTCACCTTTTTTTCTACTCCTATCTTTCTCTCTTGCCCTCTTAGCGCTGCTCTTTCTGTGTTTCTTTCTTTTGTTTCTAAGGCTTTTGAGGTATCTATTCAGGTTCACCGCGCGAGCGCCGAAAGGCACCGTGTGTGTGTCAACCCCTGTCCCTAAGGGTTCTGATGTTTCCAAGCAGGGGGGCAGCAGGGAATCCACAGTTCTGCTCCCAACAAAGACAGCTGTGAACATTCCGTGAAGCAGATTGGGACGCCAATCTGTGTACCTGCTGAAGAAACTTTTGCACAAGCTGTGACTCCACTGTTCTCGGGTTGATTCATGGTTTTTCCTCACGATACCTCCCCCCAAACCCTTTTCTCTGCGCTGAGTTCACCGCGGCCGAGTTCTGCAGTCATGCATCAAACTTTGTTCAACAATACAATTGCGCCGACTTTTTCACCTTGCGTTTCCCTCATTCCTTTTTTCCTGGGAATTGAGTTAACTGAAAACCAATGTCAGAGTGTGTACAGCTTGGACTCAGAGGTTGCCAGTCGGTAAGATTTCCTTGTTTTCTTATGTTTCAAGCAGGGGGCAGTAGCCCACTCATGATGAGTCTACTGCCAACGAAGCTACTCATGAGCTTGGGAGGATATCGAAGCTGATCACTCCGACGTACCAGCAGCAGAGTTTCACCTGTCGGGCCATGTTTGTAATTAGAACAAGCTTCCAGCCTTTGCGTCGGTTCCTTCACTGCAGTCACGAGCTTTTGATGGTTAAGCTTTGTGATATACAAACTTTGACCTTGGAACTTTGGAGTCCTCAACACTCACAGCTCGTGAACTTTACTTGTGACCCGGACTGGTCGGACCACCTTACGCGTGCTTCCTCCTGGTGTCTTGGGTTTTTTCACGTAGGTGGGCGTGTGGCAAGCCGCAATCAGTCAGTACGCAATTTCGCGAGTGTGTGTGTGTGCTGACACCCTTGACAGCATCAACAAGTGAGCAATAGCCAAGACTTCCCTTGACACTCCATTAAGCATCTATGTCATATCAATCTGTGGCGTAAGAAAAACATTGTGTTGCGAAAGGTTGCGTAAGCTCCATGTTGTTCACACTTGTTGCGTAAGGCTTGCGTAAGTACTGTTTTTTTACTAGAACATGAAGAGCAAAATGTATTGCTGCGTAAGCAAATCCTTCGGGGGAACCTTTCGGAATCATAATTGTGTCATGGCATAAACTTTGTGTAAGACTTTTGTTAACCAAAGCCTCGCCTAAGCTAAAAGTGTGGTTGCGTAAGCAACGCGCAAGCACCGGCGTAAGAACTTGATAGGACATGGAGGTTTAATATGGTTTAATCATACGTATTGGCTGAAGCTCAAGTGTGCACTGCAAGACAATGCGCGCACTTGCACCATGTAGTAGATCGGACATGATCGGACTACATCGAAGTTTGGAGGTGCACGTGTGAGGGTGCAGCCCATCTTGTTTGCTAACACTTTGTAAATGGATAAACTTCTGGGTGCATGCCGCTGCTTTTCTTCTTCTGCCTGGTGCAGGTGCGACCAGAGCTCGTGCAGCTGGAGGAGGTGAAGCAGGGAAAGGGATTGAATCAGGGTTTTGTATTGTCAACCCACAAGTTTTGGTTGCGCTCGTATCGTGGACCTCTCAGCAAATCAGCTGGTTTGGAGTTGGACAGAAGCGAAACAGATGTCGTTCGAGCCATTCCCCTTACCTTGCAGAGGATGGGTTGCCCAGAGACCTCGCCCAGGCACTTGCACTCCTCAAGCGGCTTGCTTTGATGGACACACCAGAAGCAGCCCGCTTGGCGCCGCAGTGGGCGACACTGCGGCAGTTGCACCGAAAAAGAAGCAAGGAAGCAACGTGTGGCTGTCTATAAGTATAGGGATTCAGAATGTTAGGATTTTATCATTTTCATCCCATCGCCTCGGATCGTTCTACACTCTGGATCGCCAGTTCTGCCTGCTTTTCTCCCTGGAAGAACTGCTGCTGGCTGCATACCCATCATGACGATTTTGCCAGCGCTACAATTCAGGATCCAGACCAATGTTTGGGGATGAGCTATCAACTTGTGTGCATTGAAACAAGAGAGCCATAGAGAGCCTATTTCAATCCTGAATCCTGAATTCAAACAACATGTTGCGAAGGCGTCCAAACTTGAATGAAGTGCAACGTGTGTGTGTGGGGTCTTTCTTTTCATTCTGCAAAAGTCAGGCATGCGTGTGCAAGCTGCGACTAGCTTGGCTCAAGCTTTGTGGGACTCTCACGAACCTGAGCTCATACAGCATACCCCAGATGCAGATTCGACACTTGGTAACTCACGAGGCCTTTCATGCAAAGTAGTTATAGCAACCGGAAGAGAGAGGAAACAGCACTGAGGTTGCTTGGATTAATGAACACATGGGGTGGAGCTTGTTCATCGCATTCTGTTTGACTCAAAATTAGGAGAAGCCTGAAGTGTTTGCGCAGCGCAACGCAACCCACCGGGGCCAAAAGTTTTGCATCGCCTTGCCTCCTGTCAGTGGTGCCCATCACGACTGGACAGGCTGGGTTCTTTTGTTTTGTTTGTATGGTTGATATTGGTTGATACAGATTTACAATATACAGTATACAGTAACATGTACAAGAACAGGAACTGCATATTTGTCAGTGTAATAGATATTTAAAACTCCACTCCTGCAACCTCTGTCATGTTCAGAATTTGAGCTACCCTGTTTATTCAACTTTCACTTGTTTTGACTCAGGGACACTTGGTAAGGTATAGGATCAGTCCAGTCAGTTGGACGAAGAGGCTGAACAAGAACACAGCATTCACAGCAGCTCCAGTTCAGACTTGCGAAGGTGAGGTTGCCAATGGGCGATGACCACGCTGGCAGATCTCTCCGCCCATGTCTATAAGGAGCTTCGTAGGATCGTCCGCGGTTCTTCTCGCTCCGCTCCCGAGCGGTTGAGCGCTTTCCGCGGAGCGCGACACTCGCGGTTTGGGTTTTGCCCTGTTTTATCTGGCAGAGCAGGTTGCTGCACTGCCTGCACTGCACTGGGCCTATTGGCGGTCGGGACAGCCATGGCAAGTAAGCATTCAATTAGCAGGATCCGTTTTTTCCCCACCCATGGCGAAAAGTAGAAGCAGGAATCAAGAGGTTTCTGAACACGCTCGCTCTTGGAAGGCAGGCCCTACGTGGGATCACTCCACCTACCAGTCCTCCAGCCACGTTTGCCATGTCATCGCTGTTTTGTTTGCGCGAGCAATGGTCATTTGAAAGCAACATGGATCCGATGATCCTGCAGACCCTCTTTTCCACGGGCACTGGGAGTTTCCACCACATCCAGCAGGTACCACATCCAGCTGAAATATGGAGAGGCGTCGTGGGAGGCGCATGTGGGAACACTGCAGCTGCCATCTCGCAAAAAGATGCAACACAAAGGACAGTAGGAAAAACCATACAATGGACACACACACACACACACTTGCAGTAATCTTGAGGCCTGAAGCAGGAGTCATGTGGAGGTGAGGTTGGCTAGGATCAGGCTGGACTCTCAACTTGAAGCAGCTGTCACGCATCGAAAAAGAAGGGCATTCAAGACCATCAACCATCGCAGCTCCACCTGAAACAAACGCATGAATGCCCTGGCTTTGAACACACACACACAGTCAGGAAAGTACGTATGGTTCTGACTACAGTCCAGAGGAACACTGAGTAGCCTTAATATGAAAAAGCCTTGGCTATTAGCCTGTGAAATCAACTAGACGACGGTTGGCCCGAGAGCGAGACATGTAATTGTCCAGCACTGTCGAAAAGATGCATAGAAAGAGAGAAAGAGAGAGTGGATGTGAAGGAGTGACAGTGTGGATGTGCAGCTGCGATATAGATCTGTAGATGTATGGAGGTGGAGAGGTAGATCCGTGGATGTGAGCGTGCGAAGATGTAAATGCACAGAGACGAGAGAACAGATATGTAGAAAGAAAGAAAGAAAAACAGGACAGATGTGAAGGAGCGACAGTGTGGATGTACAGATGTGATATAGATGTGCAGATGTGTGGGTGTGGTGAGGTGGAGAGGTAGATCTGCGGATGTGAGCGTGTGAAGATGTAAATGTAGAGAGGTGAGGGGGTGTAGACGTAGATGCGTCGATGCAACGGCAGCGCAACGTCAACCTTAGTTGTGCAAGTACAACGCTGAAGAGGTTTAAATAGAACTGAAGAACGTACATTTCACACTGAAGTTTCCACGAACAGGGCGACCTGAGAGTAAACGACGTCACGATCATGACAAGCGACTCGTGTATTCCAAGCGAACATCGTTTGTCATGAAGGTGAAGTACACACATACTAACGTCACGATGACTCTTTTGTGGCAGCCACTTAGGAGTAAGCAAAGTAGCTAAAATTTATCACCAGTTCTCAGCTTCCAGCTCCACAGCTTGCTCCGCGTACTAAAGTTGTACTACAAAGTCGCCAGTTCTCATCTTCCAGCTCCCCAGATACTCCGCGTACTAAAGTTGTGCTAGAAAGTCGCCAGTTCTCATCTTCCAGCTCCTTAGATACTCCGCGTGCTAAAGTTGTACTACAAAGTCGCCAGTTCTCAGCTTCCAGCTCCACAGATTGCTCCGCGTACTAAAGTTGCGCTACAAAGTCTTAGGATAACGTGGTGCCCACACAGGGCTGAAATCATTGAAAAAAATAAAAAACAAAAAATAATCAAAAATAATCAAAAAATAATCAACTCAAGAACTCAAATCCAAAACAGACTCAACAACAAAACTCAAAACAAACTCAAAAACAACTCAAAAACAAACTCAAAACAACTCAAACAAAACTCAAAAACAACTCAAAAACAACTCAAAAACCATGTTTGAGTACAATTTGAGTTCAATCTGAGTCCAATTTGAGTCCAACCTGAGTCCAATTTGAGTCCAATCTGAGTCTAATTTGAGTCTCTCATTTGAGTGGCTTTGGAATCTGAGTTTCTGGACTGAGTTTTTTTTGAGTAGGTTGTTGTTTTTTATTTTTTTCATCTTGACCCCTTGCTGTGTAGGAACCCGTTTTCACAAACAAAGTCGTCAGTTCTCATCTTCCAGCTCCCCAGACACTCCGCGTACTAAAGTTGTACTACAACTTCGCCAGTTCTCATCTTCCAGCTCCCCAGATACTCCGCGTGCTAAAGTTGTAGCGCAAAGTCGCCAGTTCTCAGCTTCCAGTTCCACATCCGCGTACTAAAGTTGTACTAGAAAGTCGCCAGTTCTCATCTTCCAGCTCCCCAGGTACTCCGCGTGCTCCAGTTGACAAAGTCGCCAGTTCTCAGCTTCCAGCTCCACAGATTGCTCCGCGTACGAAAGTTGTACTACAAAGTCGCCAGTTCTCATCTTCCAGCTCCCCAGATACTCCGCGTACTAAAGTTGTACTACAAAGTCGCCAGTTCTCAGCTTCCAGCTCCACAGATTGCTCCGCGTACTAAAGTTGTACTACAAAGTCGACACGCGCGATCTCCGCAAGGGTTGCGCCGGACCGGGCCAAAACGCACTCTCGAGCATTTCGCGCCCTCGACGCGCGCGATCTCCGCAGAGGGTTGCGCACGGACCCCGCCAATCGCACTCTCGTCTGCATTTCGCGCGCTCGACACGCGCGATCCCCGCAGAGGGTTGTCCGCGACCGGAACAAATCGCACTCTCGCCTGCATTTCGCGCACTCGACACGCGCGATCCCCGCAGAAGGTTGTCCGCAACCGGGACAAATCGCACTCTCGCGTGCATTTTGCGCACTCGACGCACGATCCCCGCAGAGGGTTGTCCGCCACCGGGACAAATCGCACTCTCGCCTGCATTTCGCGCCCTCGACGCGCGCGATCTCCGCAGAGGGTTGCCCGCGCCAAAACCAAATCGCGCTCTCGCCTGCATTTCGCGCACTCGACACGCACGATCTCCGCAGAGGGTTGCGCCGGACCGGACCAAATCGCACTCTCGCCTGCATTTCGCGCGTCCGACACGCACGATCTCCGCAGAGGGTTGCGTTTCGTGGCGGTCCGGCGGCACTGCCCCCGGCCTTAAGAGAGAAAGTTAAGAAGAGCGAGAGGTGAAGCTGTGAGATGTGTAGATGAGAGGTAAAGATGAGATGTAGATGTGAGGATGTGAAGATGAGCAGAGATGTAGATGTGAGGATGTGAAGATGAGCAGAGGTGTAGATGTGAGGATGTGAAGATGAGCAGAGATGTAGATGTGCAGATGTGAACATGAGCAGAGATGTAGATGTGTGAAGATGAAGATGAGCAGAGATGTAGATGTGCAGTTGTGAGTGTAGATGTGAAGATGAGCAGAGATATAGGTGAGAATGTGGATGTGCAGAGGTGAAGATGTGAAGATGTAGATGAGACGTAGTTCTGCAGATGTTTTTTACGAAGAACCCTTCGCAGACGCTCTCCGGAAAAATATGTTACAGTAGTTCAGGTCACACGCAGGCAGGTTGGACGCGGAAGGACAGCCTGCACAGCTCAAAAAGAAAAACCCACCTGGAAAAAGCAGCGTGAGTGACTTGGTTTGATGGCACTGGTAGGACTGTCCTAGTAACTAGCAGCCTGTATGCATTCAACACAGTGAGCAGGGCCGGTGGGATCCTTCATTCCATAGGTGGCCAAACGCTTCAGCGACTTTGATGCGTTGCTTCAAAGTTTAGCGACCAACCGCTTTGGTGGCCTGCGTGAGCCTTGGTGTGGACCCCCCCCGAAGTGGAGCGAGGACCACCACAGGGTTAGTGTCCACAAGCCGTGGTCGAACCCCTTCTACAATCGAGTCTCATGAAGGCCCAAAGGAAGACTTGTAGGTCATGTAGGGGTAATCGGGTAATCAAGCAGACGAGCGGAATATGAGGAAACTCCACAAGCTACAAACCATTCTTGCAAGCCGAGGATGTGCAAAACACGCACGCAGACGAACAGCAACTACAATTCCAACCGACGGCTGAGGCCCAAGCTTCCAGCAAAGACCTTGCTGGGCTCTCCAATGGATCAGGCCTAACCGAGAAGTGAGTTGAGGCAGATGAGGCAAGCCCCAGGTCCACTGGCCAGTTGGACGATCTTGAACTGACCACTTTCAGGTAAGTTGACACTCCAATGATTTGTATTTGGAACGGCAACAACGTTCTAGCAACTCATCAATCAGTGAAACTGACGACAGGCGGCCATCGATGCGCGCAAAGAGCAGTGTGGATACTCGGGATACATGCAGAAGTCCATGAGCCGCTGCATATTTTCATGTCTGCCATGCGTTGTCACGTGCGGATCGTGGATGGTGCTGGGTCACCCTTCCCTTTACACGTCTTCCTCGGCGACGAAAGGAATGGTGTCATTGAATGACAAATGAATGGCAACTGTCCATGGAAGTGTACTTCAAGTGATCAGGCTCCGGATCCTTTTGCAGGACCTGCTTTTAAGGTGCCACCGGGGGTTTAACGAGTGTTTGTTGCAAACGAGCTTCTATTCAATTCCCACTAACAACACCTACAAGATAACAATGCTCAGTTAGTTGGAGGCTGAGCTAAGTGCTTGGGAGGCGAGGGAGATACTGAACGCTGCAGATAAACGATCTGTTACAGATTCCAGGAATTTCCAATCCGTTACAGATAGAACGATTTGGCCAATTTGTCATTCTGTTTGATCCTTTTATTGAGTATTTGGCAACGCCCCAGTCACCCCAACGATCCTCCCAGAGTTCAGTAGAAAGTTCACCTGATCTGCATGTTCTCAACAAAAGCCACATCACATCAACCAATCCACATGTCACATATCACATATCTCACAAACCATTGCATTATCGCATAGTACGCCACCACCTACACAAATTTTTGACCGTATCGTACCTCACTTTGGCTTGCCTTGGTAACTTGTAAGGCCTGCTTGACCCATGCTCAATATCCTGCCTTCGAGCCAGAGAAATGAAGACAACTTTGTCCAAATTCTTCCATCCTTGTGGTCAAGGTCTGTTGTGTATTGATCGCCATTCATCAAAGCTGCCAGGCCGGATACCCGCACATGCCGAGACCTCGGCATACAAGACATACTTGCAGGTAGACAGGAGAGATCTGTGGCTCACTTGATTCGATGCAGTCTTTTGGCAACTTGGGATACACTCCCGAAAACTAACATAGACCTTGACAATGGTCCCATGGAAGACAATTTTCCTCTACCGACCAGGGGTTTTCAGGTTCCATGTTAGTCTTCCAGGGTGTATGTTCTGCACATGATTTACAGCTTGTTTGGTCAGTGATGCCTTGCAAAGGCCAGTACTTCTATAGGCTACTATAGGCATTTTTAAGGTACCAATATTAACACTTATAGTTTCACCCCCAGCAGGCAATGTGTTTGATTTCGATTCTATTTTTTTCTTTGTATTGGTCCTTTGTGCGTCAACAACTAGTGTTCCGGTTTTGAAGAAGAAGAAGAAGAAGAAGAGGAAGAAGCGGAAGCGGAAGCGGAAGCGGAAGCAGAAGCAGAAGAAGCAGAACGAAGAGGAAGAACATGAAGAGGAAGAGCAAAAGCAAGAGGAAGAGGAAGAGGAAGAGGAAGAAGTGAGTAGTGCTCGACATCCAGGAACGCGACAGAGTCCAAGAATCAGGTCGAGTCGTGTTCAGCCTCGAACCCCACCTCAAGCAGACCTTCTACGCCGAAGTGATGTATATATATATATATACACACGTTCACTTATACCAAAAGGATACTGTAGATGACCATTTGCTGGGTGATGACATCCTGTGTACTGTATTTGACCTCCCGACCCAAGGATGAGTGGGCACGAAAGTTCATGTGTGGTGATTTGTGACCAGTTTCCAGAAGTCCGCGATAGTGCCATTAGTGCCTCTGCTTACCCTGCGTTTTTGAGGTGCAGCTATGCGGCAATTCCTGGACCTTCCTGGACATGTAGACGAGGAGATCAGGCGATCCACCCATGCGATCGGTCTTGCTTTGGTCAATAGGCGCAGCGAGCACGTAGGCTCTTTGCTGCCCCGCTTGAAGGATAGCACAGGTGGTTGAGCCACAGGTGATTGATGACGAAGTGCATTCTTGGATTCGGGAGCTTCCGTTGTTCCAGGCAAGTCCAGCCAACTCCTGTTCGAAGTTTCGAAGATCCTCGTTTTGGGGCACGGTGCCTCAGGTTGAAATCCTCCCTGAGATGAACGGCTGACATGGAAATGACTTGAAGACAATAATAGGAGTGCAAGGGTTGACTGGGTTGACAAACAACTCCTTTGTCTTGGCAATACTATCAGCTATGCTGTACGAACATTTCAATTAGATTGACCGTTGCTTTCAAAGTTGCTCAGTTCGCGCATCGGTCAGCACGCGTTTCAGGTGAGCGGTGTTTGTGTGAGCCCTGAAGCGAATTTGGTCATGGCCGTGAGCCCAGACGAGAAAGCCTGAGTCACCAAGAAGATGAGAGAGTTGGATTCCACTGAAGTCCACTCTGGGAGGGTTGGAAAAGGATTTTGCAGCGGAAGAAAGATAATACAGAATAAGCAAAAAAAATAAAGTCACAGGTCTAAAGATAGAAAAGAAACGAAATAACACATGAACAGATCTATAAGTGGTCGTGCAGCTGTGCACAAGTTGATGTATTCTTGACGGGACTCAGTGTCTCAGAGTGTTCCAAGGTCACACACGAGGAACTGTGGGCCTTGTGGAAGCATCAGTTGTCCTTTGAGAAAAAGGTCAATACATTTGCGTCGTCCTTTGAGTTGCTGTACAAGTGGCCACTTGACTTGGCCCGGGAAGCACTATGTACTTTTGTTTGCAGCATATTATAACTGCCAGATCAAATGCTCCTGTCTCCTCCAAGGCTTCTAAGCTTCTCGGGATAAGAACACCTAGTCGTCACCTAGCCACTTTGGTTTGCTTTAAACCTTGTGAGGAACCTGTTTCTGGTGCAGGACTCCACCCATTTGTCAAGGCTGGGGAGAGTTTGGCTGGACACCAAGCACTTTCGATCCTCGATCCTCGCTGCTTTCCCATGGCCTCAAAGAGTCCCACGGATACAACCTGTTCAGAAGGGCGCAGGGGACTGGATTATTCATCGTTTGGTGTTCCATTCTGGACTGGATTACCTCTCAGGTCGGTGGTGGAGCCCGATGAGCTTGGTGCTTTGCATCTTTGGGTGGCCACAGCGCTGCTTTGCCACCCTGGGGATGTGTTGGGTGGCCCTGCAATGGCAGGCACGTGCTGGCGATGGCACTTGGAGACGATCCTTCTCCCAGACCTACGGTATCAAGGTGCCAACGGATTGCTTAAGTCGTAGATGGCACGGGTGTGCACGGGTTGCATGACCCCGTAGTGTGCTCAACTTTAGGTACCCGGGCACTGATGCACAATGCTGCACAGGGCACCTGTTAGCGGAGCAGGAACACTGAAGCAATTTCTACCTTGCACAGTTTACAGTAGAATTTCGACATGTGCGTCTCCATGTCTTTTTGATAAAACATGTTCTTCCGCAGGCAGTTTGCATGCATAATTTGCTGTATTCTGCGCTAGTAATTCTGAGGGAAGTTCGGAACTTCAGAACAACATATAGACCACAACACCCAAGTCCATGCAACCAGCAAACAAAGTGAGCCCCATGCTTTCAAGGAAAGCACTGCGCACCTGTGATATTTGCCAGCTTACCAACTCACCTAATGGCTTGTTTTTTCTGTTCTAATTTATATAGATGTCGAGTCGAGTGAATGTCAGGTGCGGTCCCTTTGCTGGGAGCCTGAGACGAGGCGGCAATCTGCAAACGTTTTGAGGAGCCTTTCCAAACATATGCCTGCTGCAGCACATGGGAAGCACATGCGGCTGTTGAGCATCTCCTTCTATTCTTGGGAAGAACACAGTCTGCTGCAACCCCCCACCACCCCCACTAGTAGTTGTACTAGTGCTACTATTATCGCTGCCACAACCATCACCAAGCCTCCTGCTCGTACTGCAGTGACAGCTGCTGCTATTGCCACTGCGACTGCGACTGCTACCGCTGCTCCTACTACTGCTGCTGCTGCTGCTACTACTACTGTCCTGTCACTATTGTTGTGACTATTACTAATTATTTGTCTATTCCATTTTTTGCTACTATTTGCAACGATGATGACAGGAACAGCTGCAACCGGGATTGCAACTCCAACTTAAACACTAGCTGTTTGACCTGCCACCTGCCATGTGACCCACCAGTGACTCTAACACAACTATACAGGACATTACGATTCTTGTATACTTTGATTTGAAGGGAATATAGAGAACGCACAAGTGAGTGCCGTTCACATTTGGTCCTACTCTGTGCAGTTAGGCAGATCTTCGTGGGCCTCGAAGATGGAAAGATAGAGGTGCGCATTCCTCCCGACTAATTGGCACTTTGACATGTGAGAGGTGCAAGGAAAAAGGGTGAGGCATCAATTGTAGACACTGCAAGTGCTTGCCAAGTAAGACTGGTGGAACCCCTAGGTCGCAGGACATTTTGCAAACAGCGGTACATGGTTGTGAGTCAAAACCCAACATGCGAAAAGATGTGGAAAGTCTGGTTAATGGTAAACGGTCCAGTCCATTTTTGTTCTTTTTTTGTGGTTCAACCAGAATTCGCAGGTCTTTGACCCACAGCTAAATTGTTGGGCTATTGCTTCCTCTACACTTCCAATGATCACCACTGCGCAATGTGGCCAATGAGCTGCCAGGTCTTTCATCTCAAACCCGGCGAAGTGAAGCCCGAGGCTCTTTGTACAAGAAACACTGCGAGCAGATCCATACAGCTACTTCTTGAAGAGCTTGATGCAGGATGATACAGGAATCTTTGCTTTCCTTTTTCGAAGGGACAATGGACCAAGGGAATCAACTACTTTTGGGAGGTTTGGATTTTCTGGCACTGCTGCGACTTCCCCACATTATTTGTGCATGGATCATGGACCCTGCTGTGGTAGCCACGCAATCAAATTTCATCGGAGGCGGCGGGAGCACTGGAACTTCATCATAAGAGTCCAGTGACTCATCTCAGCGTTTCTTCCAGGTGAGGACTTCAACGTTGCCATTTCTCAGCGTCCGATCTACTGACTTTACTGATGCAAGCCAGCCAGGGCAAAATGACACAGAAAGTCGCATGGAAGTCCCATATGCAAGCGTGTTTGAAGGCTTGCTATTTATGAGCACTCGCATAAGCACTCGCATGAGCACTCGCACTGTTGCAACCTTTGCGACCTCATTTCGATTTGGGCCTTCTGGCCGTGACACACGAATTGATTTCCGGTTCGGCCAGACGTTTGAAGTTTACTCATGTCGCACAGCTAAACGGTTTTAAGCTACTGTATCTAACTTCTGATGCTTCATTGAAGGCGACTTCTGTCTGTGGGCTTTGACACAGCAATGCGAGTCATCGATGTGCATCTCGGCCAAAACCGTGGGTGAATCAGCTTCCGAATCAGCTTCCGCGCGGCGCCGGACGCCGCTCGAACAGGCGCACCCGGGAGCTTCGATGCGGCGGCCGGCTGCTGAAGCGACTGCGCAGTCCGGGCATCCCAGGGCGACTGCGCAGTCTCGATCGATGCTGCAGGAGGTTTTCAAGTTTTACCGGACTTCACATGTCCATGGCATGGAGTTTGTTCCGATTACAGGTTGGTAAATGTATGATATATGTAAGAAGGGTGGAAATGAAATTACGGATGATTGGTAGACTGACTAGAACTGCAAGACTTCAACAGTACCTTTTGCTAGCATAAGACGGTTTTGCAGGCAGTGGCCGAAAACAAGACCAGATTCTCACTGTAAACCGGTTCTTTGACCGACCCATTCTGTCATGGCAATGGGTTCGCGATCCGGCGACGAGGTGAGATGGACTACTTAACAAGTTGCCATTTGGATGATGAGCATGCCATGCTCTCAGTGGAAGTTTCAACTATGCGAGTTGATGAACGTCCCTTTGGGGCATGACAGCTGTATGAGGATCGTGCCTTCATTGGCACCTCTGGCGGGGCTGAGGGCCTAGCAGACTCAACTGTTTGAAGACTTGCCTCTGTTCATGTCGAACCCTGTGGCTTCTGTAGCTATTGCATGGAAGGATGAGAGTTTCAACTTGACAAGCCATTACCTTCGTTTGCGGGTCTAAGTATGAACCTGCCTCACAATGCCCATTTCAGGATGTCTTTGTTTTGGACATCTCTCAGAATCCGCCCAACTTTCTCCATATGGTGCGAAGCTTAGTTGAAGCCGGTGCCTTTTCTGGATGTTTTTCTCCGAGCCAGCACCTGCAGGTTGACATGGGCTCGAAGCCGGTATGTGACATGGCCCTCACCCAGGACACAAGGGACTTTGCATCTTGTGCAGATGTTGCCCTTGTTTTCGACACAATGCCAGCATGCAAGAAACAAAGAGAGACCAGCTTTTGGATCAAATCATTTGGGCCAGGAGCACTTCTTGGTGGCCCATAGTGACTGTATTGCCGCGTTGACAGTGGCACCGCGAGGGGAGGACTACGGAGACGGCGACCGAGTTTGGGAGTCAACGGAGTCACCGTCCGGTCCAAAACGGCCCGGTTGAGCACGGTGACCCAGAGTTTTTTTGGTAGAAAAAGACCATCCACCGGCGACGGCAGGAAAGTCGGATGGCTCGGCTGGGCAACTACCGCGTGAAGCATTTGCACGAGTCAGAGGTGGGAAGCTGCGTGGGATACATGTGGGCCTGTTCAGACTGTTTCAGAAGGATAGATGTGGGCCTTGGGTCATGGTGAAAGTTGAACGCCCCGAGAATTCGTTTCCGCGGAGTACCTGGAAAAACAACCTGAGGCAAATCGCGGCTCTAAATGGAAGTAATTGTATAGTACCAAGAAAAATCTGGGCATCAGATAACATGCAAATGACGAAGATGAAGGAGGAGAAGACGAAGAAGATACTTGTACCCTGACAATTGACATTGATATGGGTGGGGGTATTGGCCAATGCTTCCATACCAAGTCAACATGACTCAAAGTTTTCACTGCATGCGGCCAGGTCAGTATCCTCTCTGTCACCGTGGCTGTGCAACGTGACTTGGTCTTTGGAGGCACCGGGCATGACGGGTTAGAGATGGTGCTTTCATGTGTGACAGATGCCGCAGACCATGGCATATCCGTGCCTGCTCAAAAGGGGCTGAGGAGAGCGTGATCATTTTCGTGTGGCTTCCCCGACGTTAGCTCCAACTACTCAAGGCCTTCAAAGGGCTACATACTTTCTGATCTGCAAAGTCCGCCTTTGACAGAGCTCTTTGATGCCATCACACATGCAGAGGGAAAGGGAAGCCTCGTCATTTTGAAAGCAAAAAAACGCATGGGGAGGACCACTACATCTTGGATTTCATTTGTGGTGTGACGGCATTTGGTATGGTGGAAAGCGAGGAATTCTTTCTCCATGTCAGCTGCCATGTTCCTGCACCAGTTGCTCCAGGACTTGTAGCCGTGTGAGCCGCATCATCAAGCGAAGATGGTGATTCTGGTGTGACCTGGGCCGTGGCTTACAACAGAGCTTTCAGGACCTGGTAGTTCCCACAGAGAATCGGGAAGGGGATCCTGCTCCTTTCAAGAAGTTTCAGCGATCGATTGCACTGGGAGTATGAGACTGAAGACTCCAGAAAAGCAGCTGGATCACCGGGCTGGCCAGAGCAGATGAGGTGAAAGGGCACAAGCTTTCTTCCCCAGAGCTGCAGCAGCTGCAACGTCACTCCTCAAGAGTCTCCTTTCATGTCCTGTTGCCTGTCCATAAATCATAAATCGCCTTCGTAAGGGTGCCGCCTCCAGGCACGGTGAATGGATACCGCCTTCAACTATTTGAATGATGAAGGCGTCACCCTCCTGGACAAGATCTAGGGTAATCAAGACATGCAAAGCTCACTCAAGCCAATTGGTCTGTCATGCTCCTTGGCTGTTCTCCATGCAAATCCAAGTTTGAGCTTCTCAATCCTTCCAACTAGCAGAAGTGACAGAAGTGGCCAGAAACAGAAGTGGTTGGAGAAGAAGTACAAGCGGCAGTACTAATTAGCAGAAATTCAGGAAGCAGAAGTGGCTCATGTGCTCCTCACACGTATTTCTCATTTGCACCATTGTCCAATCTTTTGAGTGCCAGACCATGGCTGGGAGCCAGACCGCTTCTTCCCACCTTTTGCGGTCAGTGAAGAGGTTTGGGCCGCTCCGAATATAATATAGCCCACAGCAGCCGCAACCATTTCGAAGCCACCGTGCATATTCCAAAAGAACCGGTGCAAGCTGAAACTGGTGGTCCCTTAGTTTTGGGCTCCGATCTGATCATAAGAGAGGTGCATGCATTTGTTCGACACTTCAGCTTTTCTTGAACGGAGTTTCCAGCCTATCCCCCGGGCTCTTATGACCCTCTTTCATTCCTTCCTCCCTCAATACCTTCGCTCCATCCACCCCTAAAGGGGTAGTGTAGGGATGGAAACAGTTGCAGTTGCCCACAGGTTGCTGCACCTTATCATTCCCAAGGCTTCCAAGGCATTTCAAATCTTGTTCGGTTCAAGGGCAGCTTAGCAGTTTAGATTTCTTGTTTTCTGTTTCTCCCATAGACCTTGAAACCGCTACATGGATGTTGACCTGTCAGGCTACTCCGATGGCTCCATAGCAGTGTGGTCCATGCGTGCAACAGAGGCTTCTTGGCTTGCCAACATGTAAATCCAACATGTAAATCGTACAATTTTGGGCCAAAAGTCGACTTGCGTTTCACTGTCGAAATGGACCAGTTGTGAAACCGACCCTTTGTCATCCTTTGTCAGGCTGTTTTGGTACTGCAGGGCCACCAGTGCGATGTCACACGTCTGGTGCTCTTGGCATGTTATATGCATGTGTGCCCGCATGGAATTTGGACACCCGAAGCTGGACACCGGCAGATTGCATGGATTCCCTTAGTAGCAAGATTTTCTGTGTTTTTCTAGGGGTGTTTGAAGTTGCCAGAACATACTTTTTCAGGTCAAATACTCGCGAAAGGCAAGAAAGACACCATGGAAGCATCCAATCTCAGTGAAGTGATCCTCTGCAAAAAACACATGTTTTTGGTCACTTTGCTGCTCGAACCCACACAGAGTGTTGAGTTCGTGATTTTCGGCGAAGTGCGAAGTGGCCAATTGCAAATCCTTCAATGGGGAGTGTGGCAACCGGCGGAAGAATTAGGGGTGTTTGCTTCCGCAAAAGTGGTCAGCCAGACCTGGGACTTCTGCCTGACAGGTCTGGCTCGAAGAGCCAACCTGGGGTCCCGTGCTGTACTCTGGTGGAGGTGATGGGAAGGCAGGAAAGATGTTCTGAGAAAGGACATGTTTGAAGAAAGTGACAACTTTTTCCATGACTCAAATGGTCATAAGATTCATGAAGTGCTGCACTTGTTGGGTCTTTCACCTCTCAATGTCTTGGGCAGGTGACCACTTGGAACCTCAACGGCAATGCAGAGGACTTGTGAGATGAGCAGAAGGTGGATGTGTATTGAATAGGGAGACACCCAACTAATGAGTTTTGGTCTATTTTCCTTCCTCCAGGGTCGAACTGGGAGGTTTTCCAATTTTAATACACACTCATGAGAGGTTTTCCACATGGCGGCGAGCGCTGCATCGAACAGAGACACCAAGTGGCGAGCGCTGCATCGAACAGCCCTGCACCACTCCGTGGCGAGGACTTTGCCTTGTGGGCTCCTGCGAGCGGTCGATGGCATGATTAGTCTCCAAAGTCTGACAACTCTGAAATTGACAAGCAAGAAAGAGCTTTGCGCTTTAGCTAAGCTCTTGATTGCAAGTTCACTCCGATTCAAGCCGTTACCTTGATCTCCGCTCGTTGACCAGACTTGCATTGACTTGCCCCGTGGAGGCGGTACATCTTCCTAGAAACAACTTGGCCACACACACGTATATAGGATGCGCTGAATACCAAAGTGCTTTTGTACCATGTGATTGTTTTTCCTACTTTCAGAACATGCACTGCCAGGTGGGCTGAATCTCTTAGATCGTGGCTCCAATCTCGCACCACAGGAGCTTCAGTGTGCAGGGTGAGATCAACTGCAAAAATTGCGGGTCGACTAGCTGGAGGGCTACTACCATGAACGAAATGCATCATTACTGAAAGCACGATGTGGCGCTGAGTGCAGGCTGCTTCAGCGAGATTCCCTGCAGCATGTGTTCAGGCTCTCCCATTCTAACCCAGCTGTCCCTTCTTTGACCAAAAGAAATTGCTTGAAGACTCAATCGTTTTGGGCCATCAAGGACAATGATGCGGCCCTGAGTGCTTTTGAGCCGAGCTTTGACGCGGCGCCTGCCATGATGGGAGGCACCTCTGCATTTGCCAAGGTTGTAGGTACAAGTCGCAGGAGGTATATTCTTGATCAATGTACTTGACGTTCCCAAGAAAGACAAATGGTGGAGAGGAGAGGAGAGGTTCTCTGAACCTTGAGAAAGCTCGCTCAATGGGGTCTTGAGGGACCATGGCCCGGTCCCGGTCATGGAGACCGTTTGTGGCCCGTTGAGGCTATTCCGATCCCTTCACCTTGGGCGAGTCTCGCCGAGTGAATCCACAGGCGGGTCGCGAAAGCGGGTCTCGAAGGGGTCGAAGGGGTCCACAGGGAGAGGTGGGATAGATGGAGCACGATGAGGAGCAGTTGTATGCAGTTGTTCTTTTTCCGTCCTGGTCCTGCTTTTTAGGTAAAAAACGCCTTGTCTTGTGCAGACATCTTGCAGAGTTTTGAGACGACATCGGAGGCCTTGAAGACAGAGGAGTCAGATTCGGACAACGAGTTGGTGGATGCATTTCATTAGACGCGTAGCCATGCGTAGCCCAGAGCTCAGTAATACTCAGCGCTTCTCGAAAGGGAAGGATTTAGAAAGCTGGAGGCCATCGCTCTTAGGTTGGAGGCCATTGGTAGTTGGAGGTTATCGCTAATAGGTTGGAGGCCATCGCTAGCTTAGTAAGTTGGAGGCGCCAGGTTGGAGTCGGTTCTGTTTGCTTCACGACTCGAAGTTGAGCAATGAGTGCAGAGTGGGGCACGGATGCACTGGAAAATGGTGCCTCGGCCCCGGTAATCGCTTGGAAGTTTCTTCCTTCACTTCTCGAGGTTTTTGGGATCTCGGTGCAGAGACTCTGAAGGCTTGGAACAGTTGAGAAAAGTTGTGGGTGATGGTGAGACTGATAGAAGTGATGTGATTCTCGTGAATGTTCCGTGATTTGCTACAAGATTCATCCAGATTCCCATGGTTTTCTTCTAGATTTTGGGTTGGAGGCCTACTAGGGGCTCCCGGCCTTACTACTAGGAGCAAGGACGCTACTAGGCTGGAGGCCATCGCTTGTAGGTTTCTTTTTCATCCTTTTTCGTCCTCTCAGCTGACGAGGCCGTCCTAGTTGTGACGCCCGGGCGGAGCGAACTCGAAGAGACTCGCAGAATCGACGCCCCGTCGCCAGGTTCGGGTTGAGGAAAAAGGGATGACTCAGTGACCAGGTGGAGCTTAGTGACCAGGTGGAGCTCTTGCCAAGTCCACACGCAGTCTTTAAAGTCCAAGGGTTCAAAGTCTACGTAGTCTTTTGGCAAGGTGGAGGGACCTTAGTCAACGTACTTTTGCAAGTCTTTGAAGGGTTGAACAATGTTGACACATGTTGAAACGATTCTTCGGAGGGTGACTCACATGATATTCACAGACACGCAAGTGGGCAAAGCTGCGCGGTGCTGGCGAAGCTCCTTTTGGTTTTGCGAGCAAGTGACACAGCTTTCCAGATTTAGCCGGCCACTACGAAGGACTTTCTTTCCAGATCATATATATATATATATAATATATATATATATACACACACCTGTCTCAAGCAAAAACAACCACAAACTGTTGTGAGTCACGAACATCCACAAAGTATATGTTTGTTTTGTTGGTTTCTCTTTAGAATTCAGTACAGCTATGTACAGCTTTTAATGTTGGAGTGTTGACCACTTGCAATGATTTGTATTGATTTGTGAGTTCATCAGCAAGCAGCTGTTCTCACCAGCCGGTTGCGCCATGAACTCACCCCGCGCATGGTGGCAACTGCCGGATGGGGATGGGGATGATGATCATGGTGAAGAGGCGAAGGCATTCGAACAAAATGGTCCGTCCTTGTTGCTGTAGCACTTGATTGGCTAAACACGAAGGCCACTTGAACCCAAAGAAGTAGAAAGTAGCTCACTTAGATCCAGGCCCGCAAGAAGAGCTAGCTGAGGAGCTCAGTCCACCCAAAGAAGCCCTACTTGAAGCTGAGATTGACCTACAGGGTGTGACATGCTGATTATGTGTTAGATATGTGCTTTGACTGAGATCAAGGAATGAGTGTTTAAGTGAAAGCCTGTGCCGCAGGTTCACATTCTTGCAGAGCCTGGCACACCGGCTCGTTCTCAAAGCAGTGGCACTGGAACGGAAGGCCTGCTTGCTTCCAGTTGCAGCAGCATGTTTGCAAGAACTAGATTGTAGCGATTGGTGCCACGAAATTGACCCACTCCCAGAAGAAATCTCTTCGCCCAAAAGCTTTTGATGTTGGTGCCGTGCCAGCGTGCCAGATGCACGGAATGGCGCGGAATGACTCCCGAATGACCTTCAGTTCTTTGAGCATGCATTATCGGTGGGAGGCCATCGCTAGTAGGTTGGAAGCTATTAGGTCTGCCTCCCAGTTGTAGCACTTGGTGCCAGGTCTCGCCGAAGGGTGGCAATCCCTGCGGCTTGCCAGCAGCACCATGAGGAGGGGAAGATGGCGGAGTCTCTCAGTGCCTCCAGTAGGGCGAAGAACGTTCACCGGACGAAAGAGACGAAGGTCTTTTCTCTCCAAGTCTAAACGAGTCTAGTAAGGCACTTGTAAGGCACTTTTCTTGTTACTACTAGTAAGGCACTTGTTACTAGAAGCGATGCACTTGTTCCTAGTACACTTGTTCCTAGTATATAATTATATATATGGCCATCTCACCTTTCATGCACCCCTTTCTTGTCCATGTTTCTGCTCAAAAAAGCACCTGGCACAGATCATCCGAGATGAAATCCAAGCCGAAGCGCTTTCAGTGGTGGGCTCAGATTAGAGAGTTTTTTTGGTGTGGGTGTGTGCTCAAACGACGTCACCTCCCTTCTTGGACCAAACCCATGGACCAAGTGACTTCTCTCCCTCCACAAAATCGAAGCCCGCGAACAGCATGGGCTGGGAATCCAGCACGGCCCAAACGAGGCAAGTGCTCAACCAGTGGATTCGGCGACCGCCCGATCGTGCCGGCGGCCCAGCCCCGTGCCGGTGGAATGGGGCCAAAACAACCGGAAGCGTAAACGGGGTACATGGGAGCAAGATGTGTTCCACTCTTGGGAGACTTGACTAGATACTTGTAGTAACAGTATAGTATATTATCTTCCAAGGTGAATGGTCTGGTTGGGAAGGGACTCCTTGGGATCTGAAACATGCAAGTGTTAGGACCCTCACTTGTATGCCATTTTGGCTCAAGTGGGGTCCGGGGGATTCTTTCTTTGGGCCATGCCGCCACTTGCGTCCTCTACGCGCGCGCAGTGGAGCGTGGGCGCAAGACGGTGGCGTCGCGATCATCGAGGCCAAGATCCCCGCGACCTGAGTGTCGAGAGTCGATTGAGTTCGCTCTCGGCACGCTCGGCCTACATCCTCGCTCATTGGGAGCGGGTGGACCGCCGGCCGGACGTCCCGGCTGATTTCTGCCGTGCCTGCGGCTGCTGGACTTCAGGGTGGTGCGAAGGGTGCTATCTTCGAGCTCCACCGGAATTCTCCGCGCTGTGCCAATCTTGTGACGCTGCTCACCGAGTCTGTGACCGGTGTGGTAGCGCTGGAATCACTTGGCAGGCCGGCCACGATGCCTTCGAGGCGACCCATGGCCCCGAGGACCCCAACACCATCTACATTTCCGGCTTCGGCGAGCGGGAGGGGGACCCAGCCTTTAGCGAAGTCCAGGACTCGGTCTCCATTGCCGCGCTCGCGGAGCAATTGGGAATCTCAGAGCAGGCCGTCCGCGAGTACCTCATCCAGGCCCTCGGAGGTGCTCAGGCCGGGCCAACCGATGGAGCAGGAGCTGCAGGATCTGCTCCAGGACAAGCCTGATGGCCTGAGGGAGTTGTTGGTCCTTCAAGGGGCCCAGACCTGCAGTGATGTGGTTGGTATGTGGGCTAGCAGCCAAGAGCTTTTGCAGGAGGTGGAGCAGGAGATTGGGTCTCTGCCCCCCGACCATGAGTTTGCGGTCGCTGCATTTTGGACAGTGGCATCCGGTCGGGCACATAGCGCCCGAGCTAGGGCTCAGCGATGTTTGGAGGATCATCGACGGGCATGCATTTCCATGCACCCGGTTCCGTCTGGGACGGACACCACTGTGCCGCCGTCGGGCGTCCGTATACGCCACCTTACATCCACAGGCCCTAGCTCCGCGGCTCCTACGATGATTCAAGATGCTGCCCACAACCCCCATGCTCGTGAGGTCCTCCAGAAGAACGCCAAACTGGAGGCCATGTTTGAGTTGTTGATGGAGGATTTCCTCGACCTCGAGGAGCTCGGCGTGAACAAGGCAATGATGCGCGACCCTGTGCGCTGTCAACTGCTCAAGGAGACGGTTATGCCTGCGGCTAGCCGTGTGTCTCCGCAACGAGCAGGCGCGCTGGTGGGAGCCCTGAGGCGATGGCGCCTATACGCCTTGGACAACCAATTCCACGTCCGTACACCGACGCCTCTTCAGCTGAGTGCTTTCTTCAAGGCCGTGGCGGCCGGAGGACCGACAGCGGCCACCAGCATGTACCATGCCCTGAAGTGGTTTCGCCAGCATTTTGCCATCCCCTTTGACCTGGATCATTGGTTGCTGCAGCCATACAAGTTGCTCCCTATTGATCACACGGTTCAACAAAAGCAGGAACTGCAACCTTGGGAGATGATCAATCTGCTCCTCCGCCTCCGTCAGGCGAAGGGTACACATTTGCTGTTGTTGGCTATGTTTATTTGGGCCGCTACCTCCTGCATTCGCTTTGAACACTTTCAACGTTCCAGCTTTGTGGGGGCGGCGGACACCTTCCTCATTTTCAAGTGTGCCCAAGGCAAGGCCCGGCGTCAGGGTACCCGGCCTGCCTATGAGTGGGCCACGCCGGATTTGGTCTTCCGAGGGGCCAGCCTCTTGAAGATCATACAGGACTTTGTCCTCCACGAGACCCTGCCGGATGTGGGGTTCCTGTGGCCGGCAGTGCAACTCCAGGCTGATGAGCTTTGGCAGGTGACGGAATCCACCCCGTGGAACGTGTCGAAGAAGATGTCCCGCGGCCGCTTCCTCGAACTGATGCGGGGCACTTTGATGGATGTGGGCGTGGATCCCGCTCAAGCCCAAGTGGCAGGGTTCAATCGGCTGCGACGCTTCCTACCGACGCTGGGTCAGATTTGTCGGTTGGATCCGAATGACCAGCAGTCGCTGGGTAGCTGGGTAGAGGTGCCGAGTGCTGGAGGCCCCACCCCCCAGCGAAAGAGTCGTGCTACGTGGAGTATGGGCGTGCACTATGCTGGCCAGAAAGTCGTCCACAGTGGCCTTCTCAAGGTTGCCCTCATCAAGCGGTTTCTTCACCTGTGGCAACGCAAGCAGCCCGAGCTTGCCCTGACCCACGATGGACTGGTGCCACGGGATGCTTGGTCGTGGCAGGAGCTCGCTTCAGCCAACGAGCACTTCCCGCCACTTATGGATGCTTTGGTGCTCCCGGAAGTGTCTTTGACCCCCGAGGAGATGGCCCAGCCGGTGCTCCCTGTCACGGAGGTGGTGAAAGATGAGGTGGAGCCCGACAACCTGTCGCCGGTGGCAGGCGAAGGCGATGTGGTTTCCGTATCGTCATCTACCACGTCGATGTCGGCATCAGATGTTTCAGCCGAGGCGTCAGACCTTGAAGGCATCGACCCCCCCGGGACCTTGGGGTGCGAGGGCAAATGGTTCGTGCAAGCCTCCCGAGTTCACCTGGTGCAGGGCGAACTGGAGGGAAGGCTCCTCCCTTTCTGCCGGGACGCGGCCTACGCCCAGGACCCAAAACAGGTCGGTGAAGGGTTTAACACCCTCCCGAAGAGCGCTATATGCCAGAGGTGTTTGGCTCGCATGCCACGGGCCCTATACAAGGCCCTGGCCGACACTTGTGGGTGGCTCCACTGATCGACCGCCCTATGGCTATGAAAAGTGCGCATCAAGCCTTGTTGGGCCGGGTTTGGGTGGGCGCGGCTGGGGGGGGGGGGAGACCGCCCGCGAACCTGGTCGTTCGAGCCTCGAGTCGTCGCCGTTTTTGTGTCGTTATACAATTGGGGTAGGCAGTCATTATTTTTTCCCAGTGTCCCCGAGGCCCGGAGTACGCATGGCCATGTGTCCACCGGTGTAGTGTGGGGGGGTTTTGTGAAGCTGTGCCTTCCTACCGTCCTCCGCTCCCGTGATCCTGGCCCAAGTCTCTGCCCGGGCTCTGCATCAGTCTTTCGTCCTGTGAGAGAGGCAGGATGACGCACGCCTCCCACATTGACGTCTATGCTGATGACCGTGGATTGGCTATGCGTTTCCAAGTGGCCAATCTCCTTCCCGAATGGTCCAAGGAACTCATCACCAAACACCGTTGGGAGACCCTCGAAGACTTCGTCTACTGGTTTGATGATGTGAATATGGAAGATTCCTTGACGCAGGTGCTGCTGACCACTACCTTGAAGGAGAACCGTCTGACTCGTTCACGCTTGAAGGCGGCGCGAGCAGCGGGGTTGGCAGCTATCAAGACTGCGGCCGCTGAGCAAAAGCACGTGGACGCCCCGGATGAGATCCTCCCAGATAGTACCATGCAACAGATGTCGCGAGACTTCCAGGCGAAGTACAACCTCACGTTGGACCCTATGCTGGAGCCCTCGGATGCCCTACGCAGCCGGTGCTATCGTGAGTTCCGCAAGCGCACTATGACAGTCATCCCAGCCAGCAAGATTCGTTCCATCCTGCACCAATCTACTCCTCGCCTCCAGGAGGCCGTCAGACTGGGATCTGGCGTGCAGCTGGAGTTTCAAACGGAGGAGGGGCGGGTGGTCAAGACAGTGGTGGACCACTATTGGGCGCTGCGAACTCTGGCGTATGCCTGGGGCTGGGCCGGACTGTTCAAGCAGCAGGACTTTGACAAGCAAGAGCGCACCTTCATGCCTTTGGATCAGGCCTTGACCTATGCGGACCATGCATTGCAGTCAACAATGGAGTATGGCCATGGCAGCTTGCTCTGGTTGGAGAAGTGTGACACTCTCACCAGATCCAAGATGGCATCGCTGGTCCGACGAGGTTACACTGGAGGCAGTGCCCTGGCTGAGGCCCTGCGCCAAACTCACCTGGAATGGCGCTCACCGGCATTGCAGCCTTCTATGGCTGAGGCGGCGCCGGCCAAACGCAAGGCCGCCGAGATGGTTCTGGCGGATGAGAAGGCCCAGCCGCCAAATCAAGTCAGACCGCTGGCCCACGGTGAGCCAGATCAAGGGCGGCCAGAGGTTTTGCAAGCCATGGAATGATGGCCGCGGGTGCCAACAGGCCAAGTGCCCCAATATTCACAAGTGCGACGTGAAGCTCTCCTCCGGCAAGCCGTGCTCTGCAGGCCATACTCGCCTGCAGCACTCCGAATAGGGACAGCGCCCCCTGGGGGCCTGTGAGCCCCGGGGGGAAGCGGAGCAGCGGCAGTCAATGCAGCCCCCTTGCATGGTGGAACCATCTTTGGAGACCTGCCGACGGGTGGTTCTGGTTGATGATGATGCTCCTCTTCAAGGTCCCCTGGATGTCGCCGCCCGGTTGACTGCGGCCAAGCCTGTGAGCTGGCGCGGGCGGAGTGATTTGCCGCAGTACCCATGGGCTAAACCTTTCCGTGGCACCTGGTTGGTTATTGACCTATGGGCCGGTGTAGGGGGTCTTTGTGTAGCCCTCCTGGCCATGGGGATTCACTTTTATGCCCTCAGTGCTGAAAGTGATCCAGATGCGGTTCATTGTGCAACTCAGGCCATGCCCAATATCGTCCATGTCGACCAGGTTGAGCACGTGCGGGCTGCCCTTTTCCGTGGTTTCCTTCAGAGGCGCCAACCTCGGGGCATCCTGGTGGGGGGTGGCTCCCCTTGCCAGGGCAACTCTTCGCTGAACCGGCAACGCAGAGGCCTGGATGACCCGCGGTCCCGGCAGCCGATGGAGTTACAACGTATCGTCCAGGAGCTTCGAACTCTTCCTGAAGCCTCTGGCCTGGAGATTGTGGTTTTCCTGGAAAATGTTGCCAGTATGCCTGCCACTGTTCGTGACCAGTACAGTACATGGATGGGATGCCGCCCTATCTGCATGGATGCGGCCAGCTGTGGATGGGTGCGCCGCAGGCGCCTGTTCTGGCTGGGCTCGCTCGCGCGGGGTGTCCAAGCCGACACACCCCCGCCTGAGTCCTGGACGTGGGCCCAGACCGAGGCTGATGTCCCTACGCTTCGCTTTGCTGGAAAAAAGCCGGCGCCGTCTCAGGTGTGGTGGAGTGGCCCCTACCTCCCCCTGTTAGACCCGGCCCAAGTCCTCCGTGCTCACGGAGGTGGAGCTATGCATCCATTCGCACGTGAATTTTGGCACCCCGCTGATCGTGTGCGTGATGCCACCCCAGCGGCAGTTGACAGGTTCCACCAAGACCACCGTAGGTTCCCCCCAGCGGCATATGAGGAATCATCTTTGCTCTGGTCGGGGTCTACTTGGAGAACCTTGCACCCGTCGGAACGGTGCCAACTCATGGGGATCCCTCCGGACCTGGTTGAACCAGTTCGGGGGTCGCCAGCACGGCGTACTCAGGTCAAGAACTCATTGATCGGCAATGGTTTCCATATCCCCTGTATCATCGCCCTCATGACCATGTTGCCTAGTGTGCTATCCACCAAGCTCCCCTGTCCCCTTTCGGACCATGATGAGCTGGCCCTTCACTCTCGGTTGTCTAACTCGGTCTGGGCACCGGGTCGGTTGAGCATCATGCCGGGGATGCTTCAGGCAGAGGAGGTGGTCTCGCGCTTGGGGGTGGTGTTTCCCTACCTGGACAGCGAATCGCCGGTATGGTCTCTCGTTCGTCCACGACTGAGCTCGTGTGATTTGTCGCTCCTGCAGGCCTACCCAGCATGGAGACATTTGCGTCAGGAGCCCTGGCAGGACTTGGGTCCGGCGCCGATTTGGGGACGCCAACGTACTGATATCTACGCAGGTTTGTCAGGTCAGCGCTACGCGAGCTCGTCCGCGAGAGGCCTTGATCACCTGTTGGTTCCGGGGTTGGGGAAGGAGGCTCATTTGGCAGCCTCGGCTGAGCTGCCGACCCCTTTCCACCCCAGGGATTGGCCTGAACCAGACATCGGGTTTGTAGTTGAGGCTTTGTTTGTATGGCAACGGTTCCTCCCCAAGTATGCCACCAAATTGCGACAGGTGCTGCGCACTGTAGCTACAGCCTTGCTGCCTCTAGAAGAGGCATTGGTGCCTTTCAGATGCCAGGCTGCATCGCAAGTGGCCCAGTGCAAGAAACCCGCCCTCACGGCGGTCCTGGCCATCCTAATCAGGTGGCCTGACCTATCGCTGGCTCAGCAACTGGTTCAGGGTTTCCCTATTGTGGGCTCTATGACCCACTCAGGTGTTTTCCGCCCAGTGCGCCAGGAGGGCAAAGCAGACTTGGCGGAGTGGCTGGGACCCTCTGCCGCTGCTGATATTCAACGGTTGGTACACAGTCGGCCACCTATGCACCACGAGATCATTCATCAACTCACGTTGGACGAAGTTACCAAAGGTTTTTGTAGCCCTTTGAGGACCATGAAGGAGATGGATGACGTTTTTGGCGAAGGGGGTTGGAGAGCAGTTGAAAGGTTCTTGATCATCCAGCCGGATGGCAAGCATCGGGCCATTGACAACGCGCGCAAAAGCGGGCACAACCACCATACAACTATGCCTGAGACGATCTCTACAGTCAATGTTGACTTCGTGGCAGCCCTCGCTCGTATGGTTGATTCGGCTTTTGCCCTGGACCAACTGCCCCCTCCGGGTTGGTTAGACCTCCGTCTGGGTACGGATGATCTCCCGGATGCTTACCGCGGTTTGCCTGTTTGTGATGAACACCTCTGCTACTCCAATGTCGCCATCTACGTCCCGGACCAAGGGTGGCGCTTTACTACTATGTTTGGGCTCGCCTATGGCTTGGAGAGTGCTGTGGTTAACTTTAACAGGTTCCCGCAACTTGGGGTAGCCATTGTGAGGCGGTGCCTCCTTGGCTTCGCTGCGGCTTACTTTGATGACGAACTCGCTGTTGACTTTGTCCGCGACCACGATGTGTCTCAGGTTGGGTTACAACTGGCCTTCAAGTTACTGGGTGCACCGCCCCAGCCTACGAAGTCCTTTGCACCTGGCCACAACCGACACTACCTCGGAACTTCTGTCCATGTAGGCGATTTTGTCACTGAAGGGTTGATTCGGTTCCAACCAAAGTATTCCACGTCGACCAAAATTTTGAAGAAGCTGCGATCCGCCCTGGACACTTCCACGTTATCCCCCGACGATGCCGGCAAGCTCCGGGGTGACCTTAACTGGATGTTCTCCATGTGCGCCGGGTACGCGGGTCGCATTGGCGGGCCATTGTTGGCCGCCAAGCAGAAGTCAGGGTCTGCAGACCTGTCTCCGGAGGACTGCTTAACCCTGCGTCTTCTGGCAGCTATAGTAGCCTGTCCGGAACCGAGGGTTATTTCAGTTCGCTCCAAGCCTGCGGCTCCTTTGGTTATCTACTCTGACGCTTCCTTTGAGAATGATACACTCCGGCTGGGCTGGGTGATCATGTGGAAGCACATGTCCCCTTCGGGCGTGACTTGTGAAGTCCCTCGTCGAGTTATTCATACATGGCAGCCACGAACGCAGCAGATCTACCCTGGGGAAACCCTTTGCGGACTGCTTGTACCATGGTTTCATGGCGCTTCTTTGGCTGACTATGACGTGCTTTGGTTTGTAGATAATGAAGCTGCTGTCGCCTCGTTAATCAGGGGTGGAAGCTCCCAAGCTGATGTACACACCCTTGTTCAACTGGCGCACTACTTCCTGCAAACCTTTCGCGTCCGAGTGTGGTTTGAGTGGATTGACAGCCATTCTAACCCCTCTGATGGCCTTAGCCGGGCTGGTCTCAGTGATGCATGGACTCAGCACCAAGCATGGCACCTTTTTGAGTTTATTTTTCCCTCTGCTCTCGAACAGGTGGCCCGTCCAGAGGACCTTTCCTCATTTCTCCCTTTATGGACAGTGGGTGATTCTTGTGAGTGACAGTGGGTTGGATGGCAAGTTCATCTAAGATGACTTACCAAGCTAGTCTGT